TACTTTTGCCAGAAGCTTAGAGAAATTTGATGGGAAGGGTGGACACCAAGGCAACATGACAGCTAGTTTCCCGCACTGATGTCTTAGCATAGAAGCCACTTCTCTTTCTCCCATTTGACCTATCCAAATGTCAAAACAATTCCTCCCTGGTGATTTCCTCATTCATCATGTTTGCAGTACTTGTATTAATTTGGACTTTCTATCTAAAAAGCATAGAGTTTAACATAATTACCTTGTTATTGGAATATTCTGAGTTGATTTAAAGACATTTGAAGTCTTCAGTGTGCATACCTCAGAGAATTTCCCCCTTGCATTGATCTGGTTTTTTCTTTTAATATAGCACCAGGGCCTTGAAGAAATGGAAGGAAGATCAGTCTTCTCCACTCTTTTCATACACTGACATAATCAAATAACATCATGTAATTATTATGTACTTTAGGGAGTGTTTAACACATATTCATATACAGACATACACACGCACACTAGGCTATCTCTCTTTCTCCCAAATGTTTGATGCACCGTTTTGCTGCCAGCAATGTGACCTTCCTGCTAAAATGTCAAGCATACCTTTGTCCAAGTGTTTGTGCCAAGAGATGAACAAATGCAGTTACTAAGAGACAAAGCAGAATTCAACAAATAAACCCGTTGGCACCAACATGGGTGGAAAAGTCAACTGAACATTTTATTTCATAGTATCTCATTTATAGATAATCAGCATTTAAAAGAAATAGATAACAATGCAAATGCATTTGATGGAAACACTAATAGGTGTAATTTCATCTTTCTGAGATAATTTGGAAGAGCTTTGAGGGTCTTCCCTGCCCCTGGATATCCTGGGCATAGCAGTTCTATGTGGTGTGGAATACCAGAGGCTGGTGAATGCCAGCATCTGCAGAGGCTTCGTAGAAGGAACAAATGGATTGTCATACTTTTATTACAATCCAGTGGGTGGTTAAACATGACTTTGACTAGTCAGCATCATTTCAAATATATATAAGTAGGGTGTGTGGAAAATTAAACTTGATAATCTTTTGTCTCTAAATGAAGCACAACACAGAAGTGATGGTATTATTTGGATATATTGTGCCGTGGACTCGTCTGTCTTTTTGGACAAACGTGCTTATGGCGAAATTGGTATTCACATACATCACTGGGGTTATAGTCCTTTCTGGAAGGCAATTTGTCACTGTGTCTCAACAGTCTTTAAAATGAACACATGCTTATTATATGGAAATTCTACCTGCTGAAGATATGTCCTCATAAATAATTGAACATGTGGTATGTCTATGCTGATGTCCTTTGCAACATTACTTATAAGAATATAAGTTTAGAAAAATATTAACTGTTCATCTGTAGAAAATTGTTTGTATTAAAATACATTCGCATAGTTACCAGGTACTTCTACACACAGAGTACTATTGCTGTTGAACATTTTATTTTGCTATTGTGTTAAAGTAGTCTTAAATAATAGGGTCTCCCCAGTGACGGAGCGGGTTGAGCACCATGCTTTGAAGCTGTCCGCAGCCTCCACAGTGCAGGTTCGATTCCCAGCCAGCCAGGGAGAAACCCACATGGCGTGGCCGACCTCTCCTACCTCGCCCACTGCTCCCCTCAGCAGTGTATTTCGGTCCGTCTGCCTGTTCTGCTCCCCTCTTTGTTTCTGGTGAATCCTCTCACCCTCCCACACCTCTGACTGGTACCCCAGTTCTTATATAAATAAATAAATCTTTAAAAAAATACTTGAAAAAAATAAAAATAAAGTAGTCTTAAATAAGATAAATGAAAACAACGCTTTATTAAAATATCTTTATTTATTTATTTATTTATTTTTGTGGGACCCTCGCCAGCGGCCAGGGAACGAAACGGCGCTGCAGAGGCTGCGGGCAGCCTCGCAGCCCAGTGCTTAACCGCTGCGCCACCAGGGGAGGCCCTAAACTGATATCTTTAACATGACCCCATTTTGTTAAAAAAAACACTGTTGACTCATGCATAGGAAAATGTCTGGTAGCACACATCAAACAATCATATTCATATCTGAACGGTGTGATTAGAGAGCTGATTTTTATATTCTCTTTCTTTGTATATTGTTCTGACCAGTTTGAGAAAATAATACATGTATGCTACTTTTAGAATTAAAAATAAAAATAATTCAGTTTTTTTTCAATTTTGAAAAAAAAAAAGCCTGTTGTAGTGCTGTGAAGACTGTTGTGAGACCTAAAAGCTAAGTGACTATGGTCAGCTTTACACACTAAGGGCTGATAGAAAGCGTCTCACAGCTGAAGAATTTCCACAAATAACAAGTCATTTGACATGGACACATTTTCAGATTTTAAAGTATAAAATCAACTGATAAGTTTTTGAGTCAGCAACTGGACATGTTGTGATTCAGAATACCATGAAACCATTTTGGCTCTTTTGTTTTGTTTTTAACTTTGAAAACAATTTTAATATGTTTCTTTATTAGTGGAAAGAAAGGAGCTTTAAGAATCTAGCTCTGGGACCTGTATATCTTAGGCAAGAAGCTACGAATGGAGAATAATTATCAATTGTAAGCTGTAGCGAGAAAGAAGAGTTACAGGGGACTGTGGTGACAGTGCATGGGAGAAGTGGTAAAGGAAATTCTGTGGGGCTACACCTGGGGGCGGGGAGAGAAGCAAACATTGTTTGAAAATGAACAATGATGTAACATATATATTTTTTTAAAAAGACGAAAGAAGAGGGAGCAAAAATGAGCTTGTGGTTCACTCATTTAAGGCAAAGAAAGACTAAGTCTGACCTAGTTGGTGTCAGAACTAGAAGCCAGCAACATCCAGCCAGGAAGCATAAGGGATAGGGAGGAGGAGGAAGAAGCTGTCTCCAATGTTCAACAAGTGAGAAATTAAGGACTTCAAATGAGATTCCATGGAGAATTGTGAGAAGTCCTCTTGGAGCACAGAATGTCCCAGATGAAGATTTTGTGTCTCTTCCTTATCTTGGAAAAGGAAGACCAAGTGACAGCCAAGACCTCATGGCTGATCCAGAGGTATAGAAGAGCAAATTAAGACTTTCTGTTTGATTAGCTCGGGAACCCATTGTTAAGGGTTCATTCTCCTTGCTGTGGTAAAAGCTGTCTACCGAGAAATAAGCCAAAGGATTATTAGGCCGAGAATCTCAAGATTAAAGCCAAACCACTGGGAAGGGCGGTTGACTGCAAACTACAAAGCGATTGAATTGGAAATGAACATTCAAATCTTGTCACTCTGTCACCTCAAATTCAGCAAGTCTAAAATTGAATTCATCTTTCCCCACAAAGCACCTCCTCAACTGAACTTTCCAAATAACATCAAAGTACTACTCTGTGGGATGCCTTACCACAACAGGTCCATGATTTCATTTGATTGTCCACACAAAGACCTCAAACTCAGCTTAACAGGCTAACAAAAGACCAATTCTAGAAATCATGTTTTCTGAGACCTAGCCTAGTCATCTTTTACCTGTATCATACTTCCCTTCCCTGCATATTTGTGGAAATAAATATGTCAGGTACAGAATTACCAAGTGACATTTTAATAAAACTAGCCTTTGAGGATTACACACTAGTATGAAGTCAGATTTTTTGAAGTAGTGAAGAACAAACCAACCAACCTTCGCAGTGGTTAATTTTTTAATAAGATACATAGATTTTAAAAAATTATAACATTTGTATTATTTAAAGCAAAAGGTAACAATAGATGAAGTAAAGGACCCAATCTAAGCCAAAAAAATACCTAGCTAGTAAATCTAACATGAGCAAACCACTCATCATAGCGGGTTTCTATTTTTGATATAAAGTATATGGTTCTACTGTTTTTGTTTTCCTTCATTTGGTAGTTATTTCAGCTTTGTCATTTATGTGAGAATTAATTATAAGCACAAAAGTTGACCTATCTGGATTTCTGTTTGTAGATATATAAGAAACATTGTAATGAAAGCTTTTTAACTCTCCAAAATCAGCCCCATCTCAACCCAGGACCCCAGTCAGCCAGCCAGACCAGCTAGTACTGCCCACGCCCTCTTCACCCTCCATATCTCAATATACTTTACTCCCCCCAAAGTAGCAAAGTTAACCATGCAGGGGCTTTCCTATTGAGTTTGCATGTTTATTTCTCCACCTCCAATTCTTTACCTGGGAATCAGCATTTTAGGAAACATATCTGACATAGTGGCACTATCAGCTCCCTAATAGGTGTTTCTTTCGGTTGAAACTCTGGAAGCCAAATGACATACATGCTCATGAAGTCCTTTATGCCCCGTCTACCTGCCCTGCCCTTCAGCTCTATCTAACACACTCCTGAAGGTTACAGCGATGTACCCAACACATGGGTGATGGGCACCAAAGCCTGCTTCAGAACAAGAGAGGTGCCATCCAGCAATATGCCCTGGCTTTGAAGTCCCCTAGCATTCACTGTAAGGGACACCTTCTTTCTCCCGTGAAAATGAACTGAGAGGGACAAATAAAATCTTGCTTTTGATTTTAATTAGCAAGTTGGGCTTCTTAATGTCAAAGTCCTTCTTTGGTAACTTAGCTTGATTCTTCAACGATCCTTTGACATTATCTACACAAGCCATTCAAACAACATGCTGAATCTTTTTAATCAATGTGTTGGTTGTTTTTGGTTTAGTGGTTTGGATGTCGACTTCTAGATCTTATCTAATGGCAATCAGCTTGGTAAAGACGTTTCAGTAAGCTAATGCGCAGTCTCTGGAGGAAGCCTGTGTTTGTGTGGACTGTGTCAGTTCAAACGTTTTCTGACCACCCCGTGCAGTTCTCTGTGACTACTGGTCTAGTGCTTTTCAGACTCTGCACTTTACAGTTTGAAAACAGGCAGATCAGGTCTTTCAACTAAAGGAACAGAATAGTCCTTTTAGAACTCTGTGCTTCAGTCAGTAGTCATGTTAGGAAGGGACTCAGGACTGACCCAGCCCGGAAACGGATAAAGGGGTTTGGCCGTTGACTCAGGAGTCTCTTTGTGATGTTACAGGATCGCCTACCAGAGGAATGACGATGATGAAGAAGAAGCTGCCAGGGAACGGCGCCGCCGAGCTCGACAGGAAAGGCTGCGGCAGAAGCAAGAAGAAGAATCCTTGGGGCAGGTGACAGACCAGGTGGAGGTTAATGCCCAGAACAGGTACTGGCCTCTTCAGAATGGAGAATTTCTAAGTTGCTTCTCAATCTGTCTGATGAATGGCTGTGCTGGGCAAAGCATTTCCTTCTCCGTCAACTCACTCTCTTTCAAGTCTAACTTGTTTAATTGGTGGCCATTTCAGGCAATTATTCAATTGGATGATCAGTCTGATTTAGACATCAGGCTACCAATACTTCTTTCTCTCCTGTACTCCCTAAGCATACTCCTTTGGAAGGATTTTACTTTATTTTATAAATGAGTAATGTTTTTAATCTATTAAATATTATGGATTGCATCTTTAAATAAGGAGAGCTATTTACATTCATTCTTTAGAGTACTGCTATCTGTTTTGAACTGAAGGTATATCTGCTTAATAGAGTCCCCTGCCCAGAAGCCCAGAATTGCAGATGTCTTATTCTTTTCCCTAATATATAGCCTTGAATCAATATTCTCTAATCATTGTAATAGTCAGCAAGGTGCAAAATTCTATTTAATTTAATGTAATTATTCAAACAAACATGAGTTTGCCATTACATTTTTGCCTGTATAGATCCTGGTAGAAATCAGAAAAGTCAAGAATACTCAATTGGCTCAAATGGTTCAAAGAGGCTTTTATAACAGAAATGGGCTCACACAGCTCATGGTGCTATGGTTAGGGTGTGTCATTGGAATGCCCCAAAGGGTAGAAGAAATGAGGCTATTTGGTGGGTAGAGGAGAGAAATGGAGAAAAATTGATTTTAATTTTAACTCTGGATAAATTAAACATAATATAATATAAACCACCACATAAGATCTTGAGTGTAGCTTATGGTTTGTTTTGTGTATGGCTGACAGTTCCTTTAACTCAGTCTATTTAGAAAATTCTAAAGGGAAGGGTTCTTAATGAGCATATGAGAAGTTTTCTGAGAGCAGACTTGAAAATGCTGGCAGGCAGAATTACTTGAGTGAGGAGACTAATCAGTTAAGTGGAGAAACAGAGATCTTGTCCTTTAGTAAGTAACTTTTAATTAAGAAGGAGTACAGAAAAGAGGTTCCAGGTATGTCCTCTGGGGTTCATGACCTGGCTTTAAATCCCAACTTGACCTTTTACTATGTTTCTTCTGTGAAATTTAAATTCAAATTACACCTTTCTCTTAAATGTGTTGTTAAGCTTAAAGGAGATAATAATACATGGTAAATTCAGTGTCTTGCACAGAATACACACTCTAAATCTGCTTATTAGTGAGTGATCAACAATGACTTGAAAGTTACTAGTGGCCTGCAGTTTTCTTGCTCTTAAAATCTTGCTTGTACTTCTATGTCTCTTCTTTTTTCATATTTTGTTATTATCGAGTATGTCAGGTTGTTGATTGAATACATGTTTTTGTTTTTCTAGTAAAGCGTATTCAGATCTGAGAACACGTACTTTTCCCACTGATGTTAATGACCCAGAGGAAAAATAAATGTTCTTCTAGGGACTAAATTAGTCCCCTAACTAGTCCTTCACTTCTGATGATTGCTGTCATTTATAAATAGGAAAAGATTCAGTGATGCTTGTTAGATTAACTCAAGAGTACTTTACCCTAGCTGGCTCTTTGGAATCTGGGGTTCCTTTTATAAATGATTTGAATTCAGTTGATCCGAATGGCTTATGCATGGACTTTTCCCCTTAAATTTTAAAGTATTTGTATTTTCAGGGAAATGTAATCCTTATATGACTAATTCATAGAGAGAGTGTCCTGCAGCAACAGCTAAAGGTCAAGAAAGTTTAAAATCTGGGCTTCTCTGCCATTTCTTTTTGTTAAATGTGAAATATGTTTTTCTAAAATTAAGTGAACTTGAACTTCAAAAGGGCCAAGTTCAGAATGAACCATGAAATTTGATGGAGTTTCTAAACACTGCAAGGCATCTTCTTCCAACTCCGGTCACAGTCCCTGGGGTCACATGACTGGTGTTTCCTGCCAGTGAGGACCAACACCCTTTGCTTGGGCAGCGTCCAGCATCACACAGTAGTGAGTGAAGGGATGGACCTGGTGCAGTCTGGTGTTTAGAGATTTTCTTTGCTTTTTTATTTTGTTTTTATTTTTGTTTTTGCTTTTTTTGTGGGACCCTCACCGGTGGCCGGGGATTGAACTGGTGCTGCAGAGGCTACGGGCAGCCTCGCAACCCAGCGCTCAACCACTGCGCCACCAGGGGAGGCCCTTTTCTTTGCTTTTTTTATAAACATCTAATTTGGCAGTCCTTTGTCTGCTGTCACAAAGAAGGGCAAGAGACCCTTTACTCATGAAAATCTTGACCAAAGACAAAGATGGTACATATATTTGTAGGGTAATGTCAGTTGCTATAACAACAAACCCCCAAATTTTAGTATTTAAGTGCAATTACTATGAGTTGTTAGTCCAGTGTGGGCATTTCTGATGTGTAGGTAGAAGAGATCAAGCATCTTTCCTCTGGTGACTGTCAGCTCCTGACTCCTTTGGAGTCCTGTGATCCAACCAGCAGCAGAGACAGAGAGGATAGAAAATGACTCCACTTCTCACTGTCAAGACAAAATACTACTCTGTAGAATGCCTTACCACAACAGACCCATGACTTCATTTGATTGTTACACACAAAAACCTAGAACTCAGCTTAATCAAAGGGCTAACAAGAGACTGATTCTAGAAATCATGTTTTCTGAAACCTAGCCTAGTCATCCTTTACCTGTATCATACTACCCTTCCCTCCATATTTGTGGAAATAAATATGTCAGTTACAGAATTACCAAGTGACATGTTAATAAATAAAACTGGCATTTGAGTATTCCTCAGTAGTATGAAGTGATGGACACATCACTTCGGCTCACATCTCGCAGGAAAGTGTCGGTCCTATGGCCCCTTCTAGGTATGAGGAAGAGGAGAAGACAGCAAATATAGTCCTTGCCTGCAATCGCTTCCCAGTGGCTATAGAAGGAGGACTGTGAACCATGGCGACAGTTAGAAGTCCCTACGCAGGGGTCATTGTGAGGACAGCCTCTCCCACTACAGTCACTCCCTCCCTCTCCCAATACTTTGTCTTCCCCCAGTCCAGATCAGGGAGTCCAGATTCTTGGTGTCAAGTGAGACTGCCAAACGATCTCAAGGAATTCACTCATGATGTCAGCTTGGTCCCCATCTCAGCTTGAGCTCCCCAAGAAGCAAGTGCTGAGACAAAGAGTAGAATGCAAGTAGTTGACTTGTAAAGTAATCCAGGAAACACTGACAGGAGACAGGAAGGGCAGGGCAACCAACTAAATATTTCATCATCAAGCAATTTACATGTGGGTATCCGGAGCTCAAGAGCACTGGGGAACCCTAAGATCCAGAATGGCACAGGCACCTTGGAATTACCCAGTTCAAAAGGTGAGGGGACCTGAGGTTTATATATGCTAAAAATGCTCATCTGCACCCCTGAAACTTACATAATGTTATAATGCCCCATTACTTCAATTTAAAAAAAAATTTTTTTTAAAGATTTGTTTATTTTATACAAGCACTGGGTACAGTCAGAAGCACAGGAGGGTGCGAGAATTCACCAGAGCCAGAGCGCGGAACGGAACAGACAAAATGATGAAATACACTGCTGAGGGGAGCAGCAGGCAGCAGGAGAGGTCTGCGCGCCATGTGGGACCCTCGCTGGCGGCCGGGGATCAAACTGGTGCTGCAGAGGCTGCGGGCATCTTCCCAGCCCAGCGCTCAACCGCTGCACCACCAGGGGAGGCCCAATTTAAAAAAATTTTTAATTCATTTTTTTTTAATGCTCATCAATTTTCATCTGAGGGCAGGTCCCAAGGTAGCATGAATACCCAGCACTTTTGGCTTGTAGAGTAGATCCCAGCACCCAGAGGAAGACCAAAGGCAAAGACTCACATAGCTGTGAGTTGAAAGTCTGGTGGACACTTCCCGATATGGTGAGGTCCAAGGGGGGACACAAGGTGTCCACAGGGGCTTGGCCCTGCGGGCAGCTGCTGTCCATTCTGGTGCAGCATGGGGATGAATCCAGCTGGCTGACTAACCAGTAAGCTGTCTCTGGTGTTTCTGCCCTGCAGTGTGGCCAACGAGGAGGTCAAGTCCACCACCACCAATGCTCAGGCAGAGGGCGACGAGGAGGCCGCCTTGCAGGAGCGCCTGGCTCGGCGGGAGGAAAGACGCCAGAAACGCCTGCAGGAAGCCCTGGAGCGCCAGAAGGAGTTTGACCCCACAATAACAGATGCGAGTTTGTCCCTCCCGAGCAGAAGAACACAAAACAACACAGCAGAAAACGAAACCGCTGAGAAGGAGGAAAAGAGAGACGGTCGCCAAGAAAGATATGACATAGAGGAAACAGAAATCATCACCAAGTCCTACCAGAAGAGTGAGTGGAGGGATGGTGAAGCAAAAAAGAAAGAAGAAAAAGAAAAGGAGCAAGAGGAGGACGAGGAGCCCAGGCAGAGGAGCACTGAGGAAAACCAGGTAGAGGCAGTAGGAGAAGAGAAAACAACAGCCAGCCAGGAGGAAGGTGTGGTAATGCCATTGAAAAATGGGCAGATCGGTGCCGAAGAGCCACAAACAGAGGAGGAACAGGGACGGGGCTCAGAGGAGATTGCTGCCGATGAAAAGGAGGAGGAAGAAAGAGCAAAAGCCGAGGCAGAGAGGGTTAGGTTGGAGGCAGAAGAAAGAGAAAGGATGAGAGCTGAGCAAGACCGAAAGATAGCAGAGGAGAAGGCAAGACTAGAAGCCGAAGAGAAAGCGGCAGCCCAGGAGAGAGAAAGAAGGGAGGCGGAGGAGAGGGCCAGGATTAAGGAGGAGGAGAGGAGGGCAGCAGAGGCCAGGGAGAGGGCAAAGGCAGAGGAAGAAGAGAAAGCTAAGCTAGAAGAGCAAAGACGACAGAAGGAGCTAGCAGAGAAAAGAAGTAAAATGCAAGAGAAAAAGATAAATGGGGAGAAGGTGGATGAGAAAATAGAAGGGAGATGGGTAAATGAAAACAAAGTACAAGAAGATAAACCGCAGGCAGCTGTGCAAAAGAAACAGGTACAGTAAACATTTTGCACCAAATGTGTGATGCCTGTGACTTACGAGAAATGTAATGCACATCAAATTTGCGACTGAAGCCACATTCCCCGAGCCCCACCTGCTTGGTCATTTAGCAAGGGATTCATTTTTTCAAGCCATAGCAATCTGCAAGCGTGAAGCAGCCAAGGGATGGCTAAATACTCAATCAACCAAATTTACTGGGATAACCAGAGAGAAATGAATTGCTTTGCGCTTGGTTGTTATGAAAGCCAGAAAAATGAATTCACCCCAGGATGATAAATGTGGTGGCACTGTGTTGACTTAGGATTCTGCACCTGCATCTAAACTCATTCCTTTTAACAACTTACCTCTAGCCCCGGGGCTACATGAGGCAAGAGCACTGTGGCGCCTCACCTTTTCCAGGTGTTGGGAATTGAATACAAGTTTAGAAAAGTTGGGGTGGGAAATTGATACAAAGAATCCTGATCAGAAATATCAACCTCTTAAAATTAAATTGTAAGAAAGGAGCCAGTTTGGACCTTAATTTAAAAGAAAATTTACCTGATTTGCCATCATGTAGCCCTGAGCTCAATGTAGACTTGCAGAAAGCCATTCATATAGAGAGCATCGATTTATGACTGGTCATTAAGAGCATACATTTTGCTCCTTTTACCACCCAAATGACACAAATAAATTCAGGTGGCACAAGGAAGGGTGGAATGTGGGGTGGGAAGGTGCGGTGTTTGTAAATTAAGAAAGTTTTTTTTTTTTCTGTCTGCAAGCCTACATTAAAAGCTCTCTATCTAAGCACCACCTCCCCAGGGGAAGCAAAAGAAAAATGAGATGCTTGCCTGTTCAGCTTTGCAGAGAAAACTCGCTGCTGTCACTAAGCCTGCATTGCCCTGAAGCTGTCTTTCACTCCTGCTTCTTCCAAGGGGTTCATGAGCACAGCTCCAGTTGAGAAGAGCAGGAATAGAATGCAGCAACCCACACATGGGGTTTGTCAGCATGCTCAAGGAGCACCAGGTCACGCTAGATTTCAGTGAGCACCAGGGCAGGCCCATGAGAACAAAACCAGTGGGTGGAAAGAAAACACCCCACATGGCTTTTGAGAACCACTGGCCCCAGGGGCAATGTGAGCACTGAGAAAGCAGAGAAGTCACCCCATACCGCACGCAGAATGATCTGAGCACCCCATCACTCTGGTAAGCTAGAAAGGGCTTCTTTGAAATGAGTGACCTTACCATTCTTGAAAATAAAAAGGAAGAAGAAAAAGGGACTAAAGTGCAAGTTAAAAGAGAAAAGTCCCAAGAAGATAAGCCTGCCTTCAAAAACAAAGAGGTAAATATTATTGAGAAATAAGCTCCCCAGAGCACCACAGAGGGCATGTTCCCTGACATCGGGGTCCGATGGTCTCAAAATGGGAGCCTCTGATCCAGTGTTTTTCAAGCATTGACTCGTTGATGGGTAGAATCAACCAGAGCGTCTCAAAATGTGTCCATCAGCATTTTCAAAAATGAAAGAGGATAACATACCTTGAAGGGTGCTGTACATAGTAAGTATGGCCCCATGGTGTCAATCACCTTCCTTATTATGAGGCGCAGTCCAAAAAGTTTGGCAAACCCCACTCTGATCCATCTTTCCTGCCCTCTCCTCTTCTCCATGCTGATTTTTATTCCTTGAGCCAACTTCCTTTCATTTCAACCATGAAATATTTCCAACTGGCTTTGATTAATGATTGAACTTTTCAAAGGCAAAACACCCCCCACATATCTCAGTAGAAAATTGGATGAGCTGAAGATGATATTTGGTTTCCTAAAGAAAAGTTTGGCAAAATGTTCTGCATTGCATTTCTGAGGCACACACAGGAGCTGGTGGCAGGGTGTTTGACTGCAGGTAAGTAACCGAGGCACAGGCGTGGCAGGGACGATGTCACAGCCACACCTTCAAAGAGCCACCTCGGTCAAAATGCTTGTTTTAACTATGGGCTCTGTGCGTCCCAGGTCATCCTGTACATTGTGACAATGTTCAAAATATTTGAACTCGGTCAGGCTAAGTTATCAAAGATGAGAAGACTTGAATTACTGGAATTGTAGCTTTTGAGTGCAGCTCAGATAAATGCCATAGTTCTCTACCCTCGTGGCATATAACTAGAAGCAGAAAATCCTTATTTAGGAAATAGTCCACCAGATTAAGTAGGGAGATGGCTATTTTCTTAAACATTTTTTCCTAAAGATTGATGTAAAAAAACAATAGTCCCTTGTTTGTGTGATAGATTCCTCTGTTTCTAACAGGATTTGGCCCCTCTGGCTAGCTGTATGCCTGAAGTCAGCCTGAAGTCAGATTTTATATGATGTGGCCATATTAAACAACACCCTCTCCCCACCCCCCCCCCATTTTTGTTTAAAAAAAAAGGCCTTTCCTCTCCAGTAACTCTGCAGGATCTGTCAACCACAAGTCAACACAAACATCATGTGAGTCTTCTCACCTGAGCCTTAAAGAAAACATTTCTGGAAGCTACTCCAATCCCTTACAAAAGCCTTCTTTCTCCACTGCAGTTTAACTCTGTGGCAACAGATTCCACTTTCCTTTTTCTCCTGTCCAACTGGAAAATACCTCTTTTTAGTCCTTGACCCCGGAGTTCTGAAACCACCCCACTCCCAACCTCTAGTGGAAAAACAGTTTCCAGTATAGTTATTCATATAATTTTGAAATCAATATTCACGTCCTGTAAGCCAAGCTTCCCAGATGTTAGTCACATGGAAATCACCTGGAAACTCATAAAATGCAGCCTGTGACTCGGTGGGCCTGGGGTGGAGCCCCAGCTCCCCTGTGTGGCCTCTGGGCCTGCCTTTCAGTAGCAGGGACAGCCATGTGACAGAAGTGTGACCCAGAAAAGGAACTGAGACTCTGACCTAATAAAAGTGCATAAGCCTAGTTCTTGTCATTCCTCTGGAATCAAATAAACAAATCTGTATGTTTGTAAATATTCAAATACAGTATAAACAATACAATTAAATAATCCCACAATGCAAAGCAACAACTGCATAATAATGCAAGTAATAAAAAGAACATACAATACAGAGACTGACTCCTAAGTCCTCTTCGACTTGCTCTCTTTGGCTTTTTGAGGGCCTCTCTGGCACCAGGATAGGTCATTTGAAATCCCACCCCCCTTCCCCAAACAACAATGAGTTGTCCACTGGATGTCCCCAAATTCTATTTATCCAAACGGGCAGGTTTGGCCAGACTCCTCCGCATAGTAGGCCAACATTATCACATAGGAAGCACATCCACTGTTTCAGGACACTTGGCTACCTACTCATCCATCAGCACCAATTTTCTTCATGATTCCATGGTGACATTCCAGTTCTCCTGACCTAGAAGATCTCTAATGCTTTTCTCAAGAATCACATGAGCTTAGGTAAAATCTGCTCTAGAATCCAATCCACTATGTCACTGTGTTGCTTAAAATATAAAGGAAAGACATGGTGGATTACTCTATTGATTTTCCAGAAAGAGAAAATAATTTTCACTTAAACTCAAATTATCATTAACTCATTGGAAATTTTTCTCAGAAAGTTTTCCAAAGAGAATGGAATCATGCCATCTACCATAACCTTTGCCCATAAAGGCAGAACTTTTAAAAAGTTGACAGGAGGAGGGATGAGAAAATTCTTCTGTTATTTATCTATTGATTTACAAATCTATTTTGTGAACACTGTTGACAGTAAATCAGATCATGCGCTTTGGGAGAATGGAAATATCTCTGAGTCTACAATAGGAGAAAGAGTTCAAGGGAATTTCTCTTTGAATAGGGCTCCACACTCCTGAGGTTTGACTCAGAATTTGCCTCAAGGGCTCCGTGAAAGGGGATACCCTCACACCCAAATTTGTATCCCCAGATACTTGCTAACCAGCATATAAAGTCCAGTGCACAGTTTCAGGGGGCTCTGTCCAACACTGACAGGCTGAGATGAGACCCTGCCTGCTCCTGTCTGCCCAACGAGTCCTGATTCCTCACTGGACCAGGACAGCCGCCAAGGAGCCACATTAAAGCTGTAGGACAGGCTTGGAGCCTCCGTCTCTTCTCTGTAACCTCTCAGACAAATCAGGAGCCAAGATTGAAATGACAGAATGAATGATTAGGAAGGGATCATCTAATCCATTTTCCTCTTTTTCTGAACATCCCAGGGGACTTAGGTGACTTACTCAAAGTATATCATTTGCTGACAGCACTGAAACTAAATAAAACTCAGGTTTTCTGGCTTCTAGGCAAAACTCTTAGAAAAAATAGCCAAACTAGAGCCCCCCTCTTCAGCATGTTCCAGGGATAGTTTAGGTCTGTACTCCTTGGAGAAAGATCAGTCTTGCCTAATTAGGGCAACATAGTAGGGAGTAATTTGTAGTAATTTAATCCAGTGAAATCCAAAGAAGGCAACCAGGAAATGAGTTCTCAGTAAAAAGCATCAGTAATAGCAAAAGAAAAGGACATACAGTCAGCTTACTGAAATAGACACTTTAGGAGTGGATGTTCAGATGGTGCCTAAAGAAGAGTTGAAAAGAGGTGAGTGGTCAGGTAGGGGGATACTCTCCTGGACAGCTCTTGAAGGAAGCCCTAAATTCTCAAGCCCCCCGCCACCCTCCCTAAGTGTCTTAGAACCTTAGTGCTTTGTCACTTTTTATCAAAAAAAACCAATGACCCTCACCTGTTTTCACTCACCTTTTACGAATGGGTGAGATGATACAGGTGAAATAACTTGCATCCTTTTTTACCCCCCAAAAAAACTATGTAAATTCAGTTTGATAAAATGTCTCATTTACTGTAAGTAATTTGTAATACAAACCCACAAGATATTAAGTGAACACCTGCTCTCCTTGTATTGTCTTCCTCTGCCTCCCACCACAATCACAAAATCACTTCCAGAGACTAAATTATCACCCGTCATGGAAGTCAAGGTAAAGCTTGGAATGTTTCCCTATTCCTTTCTAATGATAGTGGTTCAGGTGACTATAGACACGGTCCCACAGGCCTCTGAGTCGTCCTCCCAAAGGAAGGGTTATAATGCCTTCTACCCTTGGGACACTACTTATTTGTGTAAAATGCAGGAGTGGTCTCTGACATCTGCTTAAACTGGCTTGGCAGATCTGGTTCACTGGTTAGGTTTCCTTTTCTTTCCTCTCAATGCATTTGTGTCCTTTTCAAAGAGGCATTCTCTCCCCTACCCAAGAAGAAACCTGTCCAGCCAAGCAATCTGGCCATGCTCCATCAAGGTCACATGAACAATCACTCTTCCCAGCAGGAACTGCAGACTGCCACTTTTACGTGACATTCCCAGAACATAATCATTTCCAAGCAATACCACCTCCATTGCACTGGAAAATAAAGCTCCAGTGAAATCGGGGATGATTTTGACTTCCTAAAATTGTGGTTAGGTCTCTGCAGAAAGCCTGGAAGACCAGAGCTCACGATCTAAGATATTCTTCTGATTCTATCTTTAACAGATCGTCTTCTAGTGGTTCATTTTACTTCTGAGCTTTCTGGATTCCTAAGAACTTGGGGGCCTTATTTGGTAATAGGACCAAAACCTAATAAGATTTTTAAATCATTATGTTTCTTCCCGATATTGGTCAGATCAAAGATGAGAAAATGAAAAAGGACAAGGGGACCAAAGAAGAAGTTAAGAGCTTCCTGGATGGAAAGAAGGGATTTACAGAAGTGAAGTCTCAGAATGGAGAATTCATGACTCACAAACTCAAGCACACGGAGAATACTTTCAGGTGAGAAGTAATGACAGGTTAACAGTGACTGTGTTCCCATGGTGGGGGAGGGGTTGGGTGAGACCAGTGTTCTCTCCTGTGCCTTCAGAGAGAAACATACTAAACAGGCAACATGTTTCTGCTGTGAGGTCACTGGCTATTGTCTTAGAAAAACTCAGTCAGCAGGTCAGGCTATCAATCACTAACAGAAGTCAGCCGTCATTGCCAGGACAACGTTCAATCTGCTTTTTCCATTACTTCGCAAGTAGATCATGCTTGGCATCCATGTTTTTCCTCCCTGACCTAATACACTCATGGAGCATCAGTTTATGAGGAAACAGTATGATAGGGGTCAATATTAGGGAGTCATTCTCTGTAGGGTCCAGCCAACTTCTTAAGAGACACTTCCTAATACATTGTCAAGAATGTATTTTCTAAAGGTTGCAAATAAATGTTGCATAAAACTAAGATTATTCTGTCACCTAATACTTGGGAATCACTAGGTTGAACTTAGTTCACCAGCTCTCTCTTGGGCAAGCTCTGAGAGTCTGAATGTTAAGTTACATTAGGAATTTTTCAGGGGGAGGCAGAGGGTGTGGAACTAAAGTGTCTTTTAATACAGTTTGGGAAAATCCCTTGCATAGCTTCAGCTGCCCCTTCTCTCCCCACTTCATCCCCCACTTAGCAGAAAATCTGAGCAATTGATTTCAGGACATAACTAGTATATGCAGGTAAATCCTCACTTTACACATATTGAACGCAGAAAGTTACCACCAATTTCGGTAGGACTCAACTTACAGAAGCTGGCACAGACACCTGGCTACATGATCCTCTGTGCCCTATCTTACACACTCCCCCCAACCCCTGGTGCCAAATTCCACTGTTAATGTCAGTGGCTGCTCTGCCACATATTGTAGAAAAGAGTCTTGGGTCCCTCAAACCTGGATCCTCCTGGGGTTACTCTTTGGCAACAGCCTTGGCTATAGACTGTTTTTCTGAACACTTCAAATAAGAAAGTCCCCAAGCAAGTGCTGTCCAGAAGTTGGACACACTCCTTATACCAAAGTCTTTGTAGCCTTCAGAAATTAGCACAGTTTCTAGGGAAGGACATTTCTACCTTCTCTAAGATGCTAAGATGTTAAGTAATTATAGTTGCCCCCAAAGAATTTTTCTATATAAAAATTTGAGCAGAAACCTATATTTATCCAAAACAGAGCCTAAAGTATGTGGAAGGAAAAGTATGCCTAAAAGACCTAAATTGATTGTGAAGGAATGTGAAGCGCAGTGTCTATAGATGATACTCAGGACTGGCAAGAAAGTAGATATGGAAATAAAGGGTTTATTAGGAATTTATAGAAAAATCTAGACATCTATTGGAGTCCGGCTGGCAAGCTGACTCCAGAGCTTGCTAAAGTGCCAGTAAGGTAATATTTTAATTCCTAAAACAGTATCAGATTCATGGAAAGTGTTCAATGAATTATTGCCTAATAATACTTTTTGCTTTATTATTTGATAGTTTCAAATGTGCTTTGTGGGTAGGAATGTACATTTTTGTTAAGAGAAATGATGTTCAACAAAATCTCTCTGTAAATAGAAGTTTGGTTAACAATTAGCAAACTTGCCAGCCAGCTTCAGTCAAAGCACAAATTAGTAATTAATTTGTCCGTTGTAGAGAAATCCAGAAAGCTGGTGACTTCAAAGAAAGTCACCAAGGATGGCAGTAGCTTGACCACTAAAAACACTTCACTGTGACTCTTGATTTTTTTCATCTTTGGGCAGAAAAATATGACAGAAACAAGCCACCACCCTACTATTAGCTTGTTTCACTGCCACCCTCTTAGTTTTAGTTTCAATTAGAACTTGTTGCAGATAAAAGCAGAAAAGTCTGGTTTTGCTCCATGTAGTTAGGAATTGAGGAGCTGGGAAGGGAATGAGAGCCTCTATTTAGATTAGCCTAACTGAAAACAAGTTGTGAAAGATCTGATTTCATCTTGACTTACATCTAAAGAAGCCAAGAATGGGGGTGGGGGAGGGAAGGGAGAAATTTCTGGAAGAAATTCCCATATCAATGGCACCCTAATGACCAGGTCATGCCAGCACATCAGAGCAAAAGTGAAGTGGACAAAATTCTTGCTCCTGTTTTTGAGTGTGTAGTTCCCTGTGTTGGATTTGTCCCTTTTGATAGTCCATTTTTTTTTTGACTAGATTGTTTTCTCTGAAACATAACATAAAAATCTCAATTTAATGAGTGAGTTGTAGAAAAAGCAGATTATACCAAAGCTTTCACAGAGAGATTAAAGTGAGAATTTATTTTGCTCTCTGTTCGTCTTTTTAACAAGGGAATTGGTTTTGTCTGAATATAAGAAAAAATATACTCATTATAAAACATTTAGAAAATGATGTATAAAAATAAGTACTCGCCACAAAAACCACCAGTCAGTTTTTTCCAGGTATTTTCTGTGTGCATACATTCAAATTAGACACAGACACACACACACACACACACACAGTATGTGTAGGTATGAGTATAACTATATATTTTAATTTATTCTTGTATTTTGCATGACAGTGTATCATATTTCTATACCAATGTATACACGCCTACACTTAATGATATCTGCCAGATACATGTTTTATAATTTATTTAACCAGTCCCTAAGAATGGGCATTTTATTTTTCCAAAATGAAGACTGAGCGACACCTAGTGGAATTCAGAGAAGATTCTATAGCCATGTTTTCCAGTCCAACTTTATATGATGGACAGCAAATTCCTCTCTATTTTTAATTTTTTTTAAGATTTATTTATTTATGCATACAAGAACTGGGGTGTAAGCCACAGGTGCAGGGGTGAGAGGATTCACCAGAGAGGAGTGGGAAGCAGAACAGGTGGGTCTACTGAAATACACTGCTGAGGGGAGCAGCAGGCGAGGCAGGAGAGGTCTGCTGTGCCATGTGGGTAGCTCCCTGGCCGGGCCTCGAACTCGTGCTTCAGTGGCTGGCAATAGCTTGATAGTGCTGTGTCTTTAACCCCTTTGCCACAAGGGAGGCCCCAAACTCCTCTCCAAAGAGGGAATGAACTAAGGAAGGAGATTTTCCCTTTGGAGTCACAAGCGTATGGACTTATAACACCATGAAAGAACAACATCAAGTTTTAAGGGATCCTCTAACCTTGTTTGAGTTCAAATTTTGAAAGTTCATGTTAAATGTGAAAACCTAGAATAATATTTAAATTTTTTAACTTCAGCTCTTGGAAAGAAATACATTTTCCATCACATCTACATACATATTTACAACTGAAACAAGAGTTAGAGGCGGGAAACATCCCTCACAAACCTCTAATACTCAAGCTTTGAGGTGATGAAAAGTAGGGAGTCCTTTAGATGCCTTCCACAAGGGCATGATACAGTATTTTTCTTTTTGTAGCTGGTTTATTTCATTGAGCATAATGTTTTCAAGTTTCATCCTGTTGTAGCAGGTGACAGGATCCCCTTCCATTTTAAAGGTTGAATAATATACCATTGTGTGGCTACAGGACATGTTGTTTGTCCATTCATTCATCCACTAAAGGGATTTGGGTTGCTCTCACTGTTATAGGACAGCCCCGCTATTGAACGGGTTCCTGGCTGTGGGTCCTCACCCGCGCACTTAAAAGGGACTTACTAATACTCCACTACAGGCACACACAAAAGGTTCATAAAAGGTTTATTTACAAGGGAAAAGGAAATAAGGAAAATGGACAACTCAGGGAGAAAATAGGGAAATAAGGTCTTTAATGCGTCCTACCCGATCCGACGACCTGGAAACCCAAGGGCACTCTCAGAGCTGGCCAGACGCTGCGAGCTGGCGGAGAGCCAAAATGGGGGACCCCCAAAGCCCAGTGTCTGGCTTTATACCAACCTGGCTGCTTAACCCCACCCTCAGGTCCCAGCCATTTTCCCTTCGGTGGGGATGGGATTTGGAGTTCCCAGTGTCTTTGGCTTTGGCCTGGGGTGGGGGTGGAGTCCACAAAGCCTGTATGGAATTAGCTTTAGGACAGCCTTTCCCCCTAACATCACCTCTTGACTATGGTGAATAACTATGCCTTGAACATGAGTGTGCAGATATCTCTCCAAGACTATGCTTTCAATTCCTGTGAATATTCACCCAGTAGTGGGGTTCAGGAGCTTTTATGGTAATTGCATTTTTAGTTGTTTGGGAACCTCTGTATTATTTTCCACACTGGTTGCACCATCTCACCGGCCCGCTGACATTGCAGCTTTGCCCCCATTGCACAGTTGAGGAAACCACGGGTAAGTGGCAGAGAGGGGCTCAGATTCCAGGGGGACCCCTTGCTCTGGAGTGAGCGCCCCTGTCTAGCCCTCCGGGCTGGAATGCAAAGCCCACGCCCCTGGAGGAGGCTGCAGGCCGGCGTCTGTAAATCCTTTGCGTTGCCCCGCAGCCGCCCGGGAGGGAAGGCCAGCGAGGCCAAGGAGGCCGAGGAAGCCGGCAAGCGGCTGGAGGAGCTGCGCCGCCGCCGAGGGGAAACCGAGAGCGAAGAATTCGAGAAACTGAAACAGAAGCAGCAGGAGGCAGCCTTGGAGCTGGAGGAGCTGAAGAAGAAGCGGGAGGAGCGAAGGAAGGTCCTGGAGGAGGAGGAACAGAAGAGAAAGCAGGAGGAAGCGGAGCGAAAAGTCCGAGAGGAGGTGAGGAGGGTGCAGCGGGGTGGTGGGGTTTGGGGGGCTGGGGGACTTGGCCGGGATGCCTGCCTCGGTCTCCCTCCAGACCCAATCACCTCCCAAAGGTCGCTCTGCCAAATATTATCCCCCATTTTTTAAATTAATATTTATTTTATTTATGCACACAAGAACTGGGGTGCAGGGGCGAGAGGATTCACCAGAGACAGAGTGGGGAGCAGAACAGGCAGAATGACTGAAATCCACTGCTGAGGGGAGCAGCTGGGGAGACAGGAGAGGTCTGCTGTGCCATGTGGGTTGCTCCCTGGCCAGGGATCATGCTGCAGTGGGTGGTGATAGCGTCATAGTGCTGAGACTTTAATGCCTGCACCACCAGGGAGGCCCCAAATAATATCCCTTTGATTGTCTAATATTATTACTTGGGGGAGGGGAGGAGTGGATTTCAACATATGAATCTGAGGGGGTCACAAACATCCAGAAGGTAACCAACAGGATCCCTCTTCAAGACTCACCAACGAAAATCCAATCCCTGCTTGAGGGCATTTAGTCTCCAACTAGCTTGAACAGTCAAAAGACTACATACATATCCCGAAAAATCATCCCTACAGGGTGAGCAGTTGGATAGGAGCGCTGAATTTTTTGCCTGAGAGCGAAGACAAGGGAGAATGTTCTAGGTCAGGAATGGAGGCCCAGGTGGGCTCATAGACAGACTGTCAACACCTGTGAGCTCACACTACAGCACCTCAGGTTTGTCAAACCATCTAAAAGGATCTGCCCTGTTAAGGTGGGGACAACCATAAAATCATCTCTTGTACAATTTGGCCAATAGAGTCTCATCAATTTATATAAGTTGCACAGAAGTTACTTCCCTCATGGCACAGGGGGTTAAACACAACACTGTGAAGCTGTCCGCAGCCTCTGCAGCACGAGTTCGATCCCCGGCTGGCCAGGGAGCTACCCACGTGGCACGGCAGACCTCTCCTGTCTCGCCTGCTGCTCCCCTCAGCAGTGTATTTCAGTCAGTCTGCCTGTTCTGTTCCTACTCTCTCTCTGGTGAATCCTCTCACCCCCTGCACCTCTGGGGCCTATACCCCAGTTCTTGTATGCATAAATAGATAAAAATAAAATCTTTAAAAAACAAAAAAAGAAACTGAGGCATGAGCAGGTAAGTCACGTGACCAAGAAGGCACAGTGGGGACTGGCAACACCTGAACAATTGCCTCGTGAGCTCAGACTCACCTCTGGTGACTGCCCTTGAGGATGGGCCAGTGTCTTTCCTTGTGCTTCTAGCTGATGCTGACGTCCTTGTTATTTGTTCTTTCTCTGTTAGGAAGAGAAGAGAAGGCTAAAGGAAGAGATTGAAAGGCGAAGAGCAGAAGCTGCTGAGAAACGCCAAAAGATGCCAGAAGATAGCTTATCAGATGACAAGAAACCATTCAAATGTTTCACTCCTAAAGGTTCATCTCTCAAGGTATCTCCTCTGATAATGCCGGTATTAAAATATAATAGAAACTTGGGTTAACACCTTATGTAGTTACAGGTTATTCAAGTATTCACTTACCTGTTTGCTGCCTCTTTCAGCCATTCCATAGCTTCTGTTTTCAGCAGTGGAGAGAACTGGAGCAATTTGTACCTGAAATGTGTAGGCATATATTTAAATGACATTGCGTGACATTGGGAAATACTAGATTTCTCTTTGAGAAATTGAAAATGGAAGTATTTGAAATGTATTAAATGGGCAAATCAATTATTTTTGCTGCTTTTCATGCTAACTGTTCATTTTTCTTTTTGTTATTATTAAAAAAAACAGGGCAGCCAGAGTGGTAGGGGTCAAATGGTAAAGTTGTTTTCACGTGACCTGGACAGGCTCCTTTGCCAGGAAGGGTGTGGTCCTCCTCCTGCCTGCAGGGAGCACAGCTCCTGGGGTATATAAGACATAGGTGCTGCTGGAGAGGAGAAAAAGAGCAGGAGGGAGTTGCCAGGGAGAAGATGAAAGGCTGAAATGCAGGGGAAAGAGAGCAGAAGATTCAAGAAAGACTAACCCATCTGCCATTATTTTCAAATCTATATTTTGCTTTGCAGGCTAACACTCCTTAAAGATGCTCAATAAATATTGGGGGTTTAGCATCACAGATAGGGTCCAGCTGGCTAGGCACATGCATGTGGGTCTCTTTAAATGTGTGTACAGTCTCATCATGTGACATACTAAGAGGACAAAAAGCCAGTTACTTTTGCTCTGCTTTTAGGGCTCAATTTCATATTCTGCAATGGAATTCCTACTCTTGGCATTGAAATGTTTGTAAATGGTCATAGGTTCACACTATAGAATGCCAGTGCAGGAAATACATTTGATATTTCATCTCTAAGTATTATCAACCACTTTCATTTGTAGATTTCTCATGGCTGCTATTCCTTGTCTGGGAAACCCTGAACTTAGCTTCTCATAGTCAAATTAGATTGGCAGTGAATGTGTGTTCTTACACAATACAAGCAAAAGATAAATTTTAAGTAAATTTAAATTTTGCTTTTATTATTATTGTTTTCATATATTGGAGTGAAAGGGGAGTGAAGTAAAGAGTGTCAATTTTCTAAAAATTATATCACACACACCCCCTTCCCCAGGTTTTATCAGAGCAACACTGCCACCTCTTGGTCTTCAAAAGAGCCAATTTCCCTCCTTAAATTCCTTATACAGAACATTTAATTTGCAAGTTCATGTACGTTGTTGCATTGCCCAAAGTCACTAGGTTAAGGAAGTTACCAAGAAGAATGCATCAATATTGGGCCTCCCCTGGTGGTGCAGGCAGTTGAGTGCAGTGCTGTGAAGCTGTCCGCAGCCTCTGCAGTGCTGGTTCAATGCCGGCCTGCGAGGATCCCACATGGCGCCGCAGACTCTCCTGTCGCGCCCGCTGCTCCCCTCAGCAGTGTATTTTGTCAGTCTGCCTGTTCTACTCCCTGCTCTGTCTCTGGTGAATCCTCTCGCCCTCCAGCACATCTGGCCTGTATCCCGGTTCTTGTATAAATAAATAAATCTTTAAAAAAAAGCTGTGCCCCAATTTCACTCCATCCCTAACCCCATCATTTACATGCAGGGCAAACCAACGATTTATTGTTGGCAAATCAAATTCAGTATTAGCTATCACATTAGGAAATTCGGCTAAGATGTAAGTGAGTAGTTCACAGTTGTTGGCTGTCTTATTTGATCCTATTACATATCAAATATATAGTTAAAACAATGTGGAAATTTTTTGTTAATCAAATAGTATGGTACCTCTGTATGCATATAGACATGTCCTAAAGCTAACAACATGTGTTTTTAAAAAACTTATTGTTACAGCCTTGAAATATAATTTATTTTGCCTCTGATTTATACTGTATCAGAGACAGTATATTATTCCATCTGTCTAATCTTTATCTCCAGTACTTCATATTTCTCCACATACTTCCTCTGCCCTCTGGCAATCCTGTGTCACCTCCTGAATCTCATTATCACTAGAGATTTTACAAAGTTTTCTCCTCCAGCAAAGCATCAGTGCCTGACACCCAGATACCCTGACACACTCTCTGGTGCTTTTATTCACCAGCATCAGAGAAGAAATTGTTTACAAATTGAAAATATTAACTGGTTTTGTCTTTTTTTTTTTCCAATTTCTAGATCGAAGAGCGAGCAGAATTTTTAAATAAGTCTGTACAGAAAAGGTAAATATGGTTGATTGTTCAATCAAGAATCATCAGCCCCTGCAGGAAAAGGCTCATATTTTTATGTATGTGTGTGTGTGTGTTTATCTATTTAGCAGTGGCGTCAAATCAACTCACCAAGCAGCAGTGGTCTCCAAGATTGATAGCCGACTGGAACAATACACCAGTGCAATTGAGGTGAGAGAGGGCCTTGGAGTGATGGTCAAAGAGAAATAGACTCTGGCAGTGTAGAAACTCTTGGGCCAGGGGCCTCCCCAGTGGTGCAGCAGGTTGAGTGCAGTGCTGTGAAGCTGTTGGCAGACTCTGCAGCACGGGTTCAATTCCCGACCAGCTAGGGAGATACCCAAACAGTGCAGCAAACCTCTCCTGTCTTGCCTGCCGCTCCCCTCATCAGTGTTTTCGGTCCATCTGCCTGTTCTGCTCCCTGCTCTGTCTCCGGTGAATCCTCTCACCCTCCCGCACTCTGGCCTGTACCCCAGTTCTTGTATAAATAAAATAAAATAAATCTTTTTTTTAAAAAAAAGAAACTCTTGGGACAATAATCAAGTCCAGTAACTAAATAGGGCATTAAATATTAATGTATTATAGATGTGTTATACTTTGAACAAGTTATAGAGAAAAATAGTAATAAATTAAAGAAGAATTTTAAATAAATTGTTCTTTGCTGCTTGTAGCCTAAGTATTCTTTAATGAAAGTGTCATTCTTTTAATGAATAGGTTTATTGGTATGTAATGGTATTTAATCGTATTTTATGTGGTCACAAGTACATCTTCAGTATCCTTAATTCCCTATAAATGCATTCTCAGATGAGGTTTAAACAGGTACTTTACAACCTTGGTTAATTTTTTTGTTTGTTTATAAAAGCTTTTGTTATCAAATAAAAGTAATGGTACACTGAATAAATTATTATAAATACAATAACTATCATGGGTTTAATCATCCACAATTTCAAATTAATTCTTTTATACTTGAAGGATCATGGTTACGTGCCTTGGTCTGTCTATTCCAACTATTTTTTTTATACCCAGTTGACTTAGGGGTTCTACTCTATTTAGAAATAATGTGTATTTGCAAGTATCAAAGCACTAAGCAGGTAGAATGTCACCGATCAAGATGTGACCCTGCTTTTTCTCCTTTGTGGACTTTCTTCAATGGTTTTAACCTTCTATGGCAGAACACCTGCTATAAAGTAATGGGATCAGTCTCATTTGATTTCTCCCTCTCCTTTGTACTGCAGGGTGGAGATACCCATAAAATAGTTCACAAACATATGATAAAAGGGAATGAGAGAGAGGGGTCTGGATGATTCATCAAATGAATAATCAAATCCTAACTCCCCAGAGGTGATTTTCACAAAATTAAATGGCCCCTAACATATGACAAATTGCAGGGTTCTTTTTCTTCATTGAACTGACTATAGTCCTAACAGGGTAGATGAGGTCAAGACTGGCTGCAGACTTGACATGGTCCTGAGAAATGTTTATGCTCGGACCATCAATAGTGCCACCCTCTTGGCTGACCCTCTTGACAACACAAGCCTCAGGCCACAAAGGAGGACCAGCAGAGACACTGCATGATTCTGGTGTGCGCTTTGCTACTTCTGGAAAAATACTTTGAATGCACACCTTCTCCCTCCCAATCACTCCTTACTCCTCCTGTGGGCCTGCTCTACAACGTGGTCTCTCCTCTTTGGGTCTTTTAGAATTTCCCTGTGGTCAGTCTTTTGCATATACTGTTACCCCTGCATGAGGTGGTTTTGCTCCTTCTTTCTACCTTCCACTTCCAGGTCCTCCAGATCTGTCTCTAAATGTCACTTCCTTTTTTGCTCCTGTAAACTAAGTGTCGTTCCCCACCATGTGTGACCTCAGCGGGCTTTCTAGCACCACTTTGTCTTTCATTACACTTAGCACAATGGGAAATAAATACATGGACAACTCATACTGTCTTTCTCTCCTAGTACAGTGGAAGCCCCCTGCAGCTCACAGAGCTGACCATCTTGAGCACCACTGTGGCCCAGAGCCTCGCACTTCCCTGCACACAGTAGGCACTTAACCCTCTGCTAAAGAAATGAAGTACAAGGTCACCTTACCAATAAGTGGTGTCCTAACAAAGTGACAGCTTCACTTTTGAAAGCCCCTCTGATCTAAATCTCAGGGCTTATTTTGAGATCTCTCTGTCATCAGACTGTAGTTTTGCAGCAGAAACTCTGAATCTCATTTTTGTTGAAGGTGTTTACGCAGTGAGTGCAAATGAAAGTGTTGAGGATGGCAACTATAATTATATGAAAATAGACTTATCAGCACCAATCCTAAAAATAATTTACACATTTCAGGGAACAAAAACTTCAAAACCTACGAAGCCAGCAGCCTCAGATCTTCCTGTCCCTGCTGAGGCCGTGCGCAGCATCAAGAGCATGTGGGAGAAAGGTGATGTGTTTTCATCTCCCTCCGCAGGCGGCACACCAAACAAGGTGAGCACAGGCTTTCTAGCTTTTCATTTTGGAGCTTGGATTTTTTTCCTGCATATTCTTTAGGAGTCCACTAGTTAATAAAAGTAGTGAAGATGGTGTTGTTCTGACGTTCCTTTGCAATGACCACAAAAGCCAACTCCAAGAGAATGTTCATAAGACCAGACCAAACTCTGACCACATCACTCTAAATAAAGTACCTGAAATTAATCACTACCCCTTGTGGGTAGGAGTGGGGTGAGGTGCAGAGGGAGAATACCAGGTGACATAGTCTTCAAACATCAAGCTTAAGGCTTATTTTATTCAAAAATATTAACTTGAACAGTCAATGGTTGGTTACTGTTAATACTTAATAGTATTTGAGGTTGCTTTGAAGATTTCTTTCCTAGTAAAATTTTTTTACTTTAATATTTTGGGGGATTTTTGACTCTTTATAGGAAACTGCTGGCTTGAAGGTGGGGGTTTCCAGCCGCATCAATGAATGGCTAACCAAAACCCCAGATGGAAACAAGTCCCCTGCTCCCAAACCTTCTGTAAGTAGCTTCTGATTTTTCTGAATGTCTTTGATTCATAGCTGCAGAAGCAGATGAAAACAGGCACTTTTTCTATTTGCCTGGTGAAGAAAACTCCTGTTCTTTGCTGTCACTGCTGAATAATAAACAAAGAGAGGTTGAGATGTAGAGAGAACAGCCCTGAGCAAATGTTCCATGATTATCTAGAGGGTAAAATGGAACCAAATGGTCTCCTCTCCACCCTGAGAATAGTAGTTAACCAGAATATTGGACCCTTCACATTTGTGCTCTTGACTGGTCCATCTGGTTGGTTTCTATTGTACACAATACAGCTAGGAATTTGAAAATGAAAATGTCAAATTATCTTGACCACTTCTTTGTCAAGATGCTCCCCCCTACCAACTATTTCCAAAAGAATGTGTGGGTTGGCTGTTTTGGATACATATTTTATAATTTGCCTAATTTCTGTAACTGAACACAAAAATAGAGTTATGAGGTAGTTGTAGAAATAATTGCTACAATTTAATTGTCAACATCTCCAAAAGAAAGCCACATTTTAAAAAACATAGTAAACTGGAAACCCTCAAAACTGGTTGTGAGTGTTACTTTTGATAATCAAAACTTTTCTCAAGGATTATAATATGGTTCTCTTACTATAAAAGTATTCTTTCAGCCTTTTCATTGAATGTATATGATACTTGCCTTGTAATCAAAACCTTAAGTTCCTTACTCTACAGTGGTGATCTTTCTCTGTCAAATTGGTTTTTAGACCTTCATTGTGAGCACAGAGACTTGATTGTTATGGCCACTCCATTGCAGAGATAGACAAAAGCTTTCCAAACCCTGGGCCTCTGTGCCAGAGCATTTATTATATCCATTCACTCCATATTTTATCTCCAAAGTCACTAAAGTTTATCACTTTTCCAACTTAAAAAGAAAAAATGGAAACTTTCCATGCCTTTCATGGTCACAACTCTTTGTAGTCAATTTAATTAATACTCCACCTGAGATTCTTAGTATCTGGGCTCCCAAGAGGTATAACTCATGTAAACCAAACAGGGAAGGAGAACTATGAAAGGAGATAGTCAAGGGCAGGGGTCGAGGACAGAAAGTGTGGGCTCTGTAGGGCCTGAAGCTTCCCAGCACCCAAGATGACATGAAGAATAGAAGCCACTTTTTAATGGCTGTTTATGTGAGTGTTGTGGTCCCATACCAGTGATTGTTAATTGTTTTGAAGTATGAACCCTTTTCAAACACTAATAAAATCTGAGGACCCTCTCCCCAAAATATGTGTATAATAAAAGGGCAGAAATTTCATGGACTCCCTCCTAAGATATCAAGGAAAAAGAGAAAGGTACACATTTTCTCTTTGATGAGTCTGGCACATTGTAGCGGAGATTCACATTTGTAGTATTTACGATCGATTTAATTTCTATACCAGATTATCCTCATACATTTGGTCCAGGGCTTGACGCATATTCTTTAATCAGCACTTTAACTTAAAAACCTTTCATCATCTATGTCATTCTAGAGAGAAGTTAGGAGATTCAAGTCAGCTATTATGACAATAGGTATAACTGTGTCAAAGTGTCCACAGAAAGCCACTTATTCTGGGCTATGGATGACCTAAAAATGGCAGGTCCATCAGGTATTACAGAACTATAGAATCATTGCCTGCTTTACCTACTATTTAGTAAGTAATCTGCTGGACCACCTTCTAGATGGGGAGATTGAGAAAGGAAAAGAGACTGTAGTAATTGGTGTAGAGTATAGTAATCTCTTTTTTTCTGGTGTCCCATTGGATTTTGTACACTAGAGTGGCTTACTGAAAGGTCTTCCAGAAAACCAGTAGGTAACTGATGTTGTAAATAAAAGGCTAGTTTGAGTATACTCGGTAAGGAACTTTAAGCTTTATTGACATTCTAAGACTAGTACACCCAGCACTTGTCTAAGTATGAATAGCAACATGGCAGTCTCTTTGGAAGAAGACATGACCTGGAGTCCAGCAAGACAGGAGGGTAACTGACAGACACTATGGGTACAGCAGAAAAGAGAGGAAATTTCCTGAAAATGCACGAAAGTTGGTTGGCAAAAGATTAAGTCCAGGAAGATAATTTAGAAGGATCGATCAAGCAAGGATCCTGTCTAAGGGGTTCACACCAGTAGCCAGCAGCTAAGATCTGTATAGTTTGATCCACATGGTTATGCTTAATTTTCCTGTTTTAGGTTATAATTTGACACTTTTGTGAGGTGTGGAGACATACACTCTTGAATTTGTTGATTCTCTCCTTTCCTTTTCTTACTCCAAGCCTCTTCAGACATCTCTGTTCCTGGCTTGGCCCTTCCTAGCAGGCATCTGAGTTTGACACCTTGGAACTCTGGTCAGACTGACCTTGAGCCCAGGATGTCAAAGGATGGCCTAAGAGGACAACAAATAAGAGGCCCCCAAAGGTACCTCCTGTTTGGAGCCAGGGGTGATTTAGTCTCAGTTCCTTATTTATATTCCATGGTGAGTATGGCTGGAAGGGAAAACTTGGGTTTGTATTTGTATATGTGTGGCCTGTGGCCAGTAAAAAATAATCAGAGGGAAATTTATGCAACAAAATGGTCCTCATGCAGTGAAACTTCCAGAACAAAAGTGAAAGCCACAGGGTTTGTTTAGTTCTAAAATCCACTGAAGGGAAAAACCATCCTCTGCCACTACTTATGTCCTCATTTTCTTATAGGCAAGAATTAAAAGTACTCAAAAGGGTTTAGCAAATCAAGATTACTTGGTGTCCCTGAAAGTTATTTAAAATTAAATATCCATCTACACTTGATTCTTTACTGGACAGCTACTATTTGTCTGTAGATGTTACAGGGTTTCAGTGTAACTTTGTATGTGAAATTCAGTCCTGAATAAGTCTATTTTAACTGATTTGTCTGTTCTTTGTATCTAAACTGCTTGTTCTATGCGGCAATTAAAGTGTTAATGTGTCTTTTTATTTTAAAAAAAAAAAAACTCTTTCTTTCTTAGCTGCATTCTCTTCTTCATTCTTTGATCTCTGGTTGATTGGAAACCTGCTTCTCCTGCCTCCTTCCTCCCTCTTCTTCTGGAGTGAGTCTTTCTCTAAAATATAGTCTGGTCAGGTAATTACATTTATGTTTTCCCTTTGATTTGAAATGCCAGCTTAGCACTTGGATGTTAATATTTGCTTCAGATTGACTCCTTAAATGCTAAGTGAGCTGGAAAGACTTATAGGCAGGATTAAGGAAAAAAGAACATTCATGTGAAAGAAAAATATTTGTCTTCTGTAAGTCAAATAAATAAAGTATTAATAACCACTTTCCAGAGCATCCATTAGTATGTTCCTAATTATAGTTTCCAAAATTTCAAAAAGAGTCTTCCAGACAATTTGGCAGCTTCTACCTACATTGGCAAAGGGAGTGGAATTCAAAAACAATCTGATTTGTTGCTTGTTGGTTCCAAGTTAAACAGGTATAACTCTCTAATAGAACATCACGTATTCATGCCACCATGGAAATCCAGAAACCCAGCAAGATTAAGGCAAATCTGAAATGCTTCACAGAGAACTGTTTGACCAATGCATTTTCAGTATTGAGATCTCAATGCTATCTATAAAAATATGTCCATTTAGACTAGTCTCCATGGATAAAAGCAACTGCTTTTAGCTTCGCCTTCCAAAAAGAAAAGGTTTGCCAAAATAAACATCACTATTTCAGTAAAACACATTTATTTTCTACGGCTACCTTTTGCCAAGTATTAATATAAGCAAATGCTGGAAGTAAATGGAAACAGAAATTTGGATCCTTATCCACGCCAAATTAATTATGAGGTAGTAAATAATCATAGCTATATAACTGTAATCGATCACATTTTAGTGTTTTCTTTCCAAGACTTCTACAAGTTCTCACAAGTCATCAGCTGTCACCTACTCTTATGGATACAATTTGTGGTATAGTTTACTTTAGTGGGGCTAGGTTCCACTGATGCACTTCTGAATTACCCCCTTGCTCCTCAAGAAACACCACATGACTTTAGTCTGAGGAAAGTATAATTAAAAAAGTGTGTGAGGGGCCTCCCCTGGTGGCGCAGGCAGTTGAGTGCCACGCTGTGAAGCTGTCCGCATCCTCTGCAGCACAGGTTCGATCCCAGCCGGCTGGAGAGGTCCCACATGGCTCAGCAGACCTCTCCTGTCTCACCCGCTGTGCCCCTCAGCAGTGTATTTCTTCAGTCTGCCTGTTCTGCTCCCCACTCTGTCTCTGGTGAATCCTCTCACCCCCCACACCTCTGCTCTACACCCCAGTTTGTCTATGCAAAAGTAAAAACAAACAAAAACCACAGGTGAAGGTCCAGATTTTCAAAAAAGGATCCTTTTACTTCCATTCATTTCAGATCACTAGGATAAAATATGCTAAACAAGAAATTGATTCAGACAACCAAACAAATGTGATTTCTTTAAACTTGTCAAGAAAATATAAATGGCCACCTATCAATTTTTTCTGTTTTCTCTTCTTTAGGATTTGAGGCCAGGAGACGTATCTGGCAAGCGAAACCTCTGGGAAAAGCAGTCTGTGGATAAGGTCACTTCCCCCACTAAGGTAATCTACTGAAAGTGTGTTTTTCATAGGTGCTTTTCTGGCTGTATCCTATTGTGACAGGTGCCAGGGAAAAGTGGGAACTATCACTGACCCATAGGGCTTTGCCTAGGGCATTATCAGATTCTAAACATTTATATGTAGAACCGTGAAAGGAAGGCCCCTGGACCCTCGCTTGGCAGGTCTGTCACTCATACAACATATATTGTCCCAAAGCACAGAACAGCTCCCAACAGGGCATTCTGGAAGCTGCAGTGGTAGAAGTGTTGACAGCATAAGACTGATGGTATAACCATGGGCGTCATTTCCTTACAAAATCCAGCTCTGGATTTCCAGCCATTTCAGATCACCTAGGGAGAAACATCTGTCAACCTGAGTAGTTCCAAATCTGCTTTCTGGCATCATTCTAAGGCATTAAAGTGCCAGCAGCTAAGGACTCAAGGTAGCTGTGGCAAAAATAATAATATTCAAACATTCAGCAAAATTTGCTACCCCATGAAAATGAATGGACAGGGATACTTGGATTTGCCTTTTGTTTTGTTTTGTTTTGTTTCTGGTTTTGTTTGCTCAAAGAGTACTTACTCTTCATCCAGGGAGCTCAGGACAATATCTCAATAATGCTAAAACTAAAAACAGAACCCCTCATTATAGTCCTTCTCATTTCATGTAATAAACCCCATCTTTTCCTTTAGTAAAGGGAGAATTTAAAAAGAGAAATAATAAAAGATCCAAATGCCCCATTTCTCTACTTAAAGTGACCTTGAAATAAGTCCAGTTCTCTAGGTCATTGCTAAATATATTGAAATTATCTGGTAACAATCATCACCACTGCAAACCATAACACTGAGTATCCACTAAATGCTAAGCACTGTTCCACCTTCTCAATCTACATTATTACCTGACCCACCAACCACCATGTGAAGTAGCGTGATGATGACCCTCATTTGCTGCTGAGGAAAATGAAGCACAGAAGTATTAAGTTATTTTCCCAAAGCCACACAGAAAATAAGTAGCAAAGCCTGGATTTTAAACTCAGACTGTCTGAAATGACAGACTTAACTATATTACATGTTGTGATAGTGGGGGTGGTTTCTTCTTTCGGGTGAGGAGGGAGATGACTGCATATTCAATTGAGGAGTTGTAAAAAGCTTTGAAGTTCCTTGCACAGTTCTTCTGGTGGAAAGGAATTAAGAGGAGTGTTCTTTAGTTGTTTTTGTTGGGTTTTTTTAAAGATTTTATTTATACAAGATCTGGGTACAGGCCAGAGGCACGGAAGGGTAAAAGACAGAATGGGCAGCAGAGACAGAGCTGGTAGCAGAACAGGCAGGCGGACCGAAAGCACTGCTGAGGGAAGCAACAGGCGAGACAGGAGAGGTCTGCTGTGCCATGTGGGTATCTCCCTGGCCGGCTGGGAATCGAACCTGCACCACAGAGGCTGCAGGACAGATCCACAGCACTGCGCTCAACCTGTTGTGCCACCCGAGAAGCCCAGTTGTTTTTGTTTATAAACAGAGAATGAGCTTGTGTTGGCCTAAGCCGTTATGGCCCGTCAAATAGGTCTCTGATCTTTCGACAATAGCATTTCAGATGTTTATATAGTCTCCTGAGTAGAGCCTGACAGCTGTCCACAGTCCATCATCCCAGGTATCATGGAACTCTCTGGACAACATTATCTGAGCCAGAGTTCTGAGAAGTGGCATAAAGATGTGCTCAGAAACAATAGGATGCAGAGAATACCACTCGCTAACAATAGAACATGAGTGGTACCCCTGGAACTGTGCCACCTGTGGTACTAGGAGGACAGATGACAGGGGGAGTTTTTATACACACTGCCCCCTCCTCCTCCATCTGGACCACCAAACTCTCTGCATAATAATAAGAACATAACTATCAGGCCCAGGGCCCAGTTCATGAGGACACAGATTAGGGCTGCAGAACATCCAACTCACTGCTTGTCAAGCAGTCACTCCTTTTAAATGAAATATACAGCACATTTGAAAGTGTGGACTCACACACTAAATAGTGTTACCATCTCAGCCAGGATTGCCAGCAGTTAATCAAGGGGGAAAATGGTAGACAAATAAGATGATGAATCAGATGAGTGCTAAGGGTAGAATGTAAAACTGGAAGAAACAGAGACTGCTAGGTTTCAAAATTGGAGAAAATGAAAAATAAGCATATTCTACTAACCATCTTGCCTTGACGTGACAAAGATTGGGCTATCCAGTCACCTGTCCCTATTCTGGAAGGAACATTATAGATTCCTGGCCCTTACAGTGGAGTTTAAAAAATAACCCTTCTTGACCCTGAATACTTTGAGCAAGGGGAAAGATCAAGATTGGGAAAGGCAAATATAAAGGAGAAAGGGAAGTGAAAAAAAGAGAGACTAAGAAAAAAGCGTATTTGAATAGAATGCCAATGATAATCCCCCCTTTCATAAATATTTACTCCTACTCTCTTCTTCTGACATAAAACATCTGGTTGAAACATGTGCCTTGCCGATTTAAATGTCTCTTCTCTTAGCAGGTTTGAGACAGTTCCAGAAAGAACCCAAAGTAGTGCTCAAGATGCTGGACCAGCTCAGTTGAAGAGGGCTAAGTTGCTCTGTTTTATATTTATGTTGATTTACTAAATTGGGTTCATTTCCTTTTATTTTTCATTATCCCAGTAAACCCATGTATATTATCACTATATTTAATAATCACAGTCTAGAGATGTTCATGGTAAAGTACCGCCTTTGCACAGGAGCCTGTTTCTAAAGAAAACCATGCTGTGAAATAGAGACTTTTCTACTGATCATCGTCACTCTGGGTCTGAACAGTGACATCCAACACATCGAAAGTCAACAAAAGGAGGTTCAATTTGAAATTTGCCCAAGGAATTGTGTGCAGTATCTGGGAAAATGAGTTGCAGTGGGGTTTTTTTGTTTTTTTTTTTTTGCTTTAAATATGGAAGTCATGTTGTTTCTGCACTTTAGAATAAAGCATGGAAGACATTATCTTATTAGGAAATTGTAACACTTTCTGAAAGTAACCCATTTCAGATCTGAGATACTGCAATAATGATTGTCTTTTATAAAAAAATGTACTGTTAAGGTATTACTTTTTTTCATTCTGATGATTATCTGAATTGGATTATGATGTTAGCTGACAGTGGTACTGATTTCTTTAGGTTGGTTGCTTTGTGGATTTCTTTGGTAGTAATAGTAAACCACAATTTAGATGACCTGATTATGTATGTATGTGCATACACATATACAAACACACTAATGGTAGAAAGCTTTTTTATGTGCTAGACTATAATATTTAGCAATATGTCCTTGTAACTAGCCAATGATCACAGCTTCTTAAAATTAAAAATCACAGATATTACATATTTGTCAATAGAGAGATGGCAGAATAGATATCAATATGTTTTCAATATCCAAAAATCTGTAAGAAAAAAGAGAATAGAAGTGTCAAGATGATTTGGCATCTCCTATGAAACACAGTATTTAGTTTATAATTAAAAGCAATCATGAAGTTCATTGTGAATTTTACTAACCCTACCAGCTGGGTGGGTCAAAACTAAAGTTTACTCAAAACCTTATGTTTAACAATGAAGTTCAGAAAAGGTTGGCCTAGATGTTGTCTGAGATCTCCTTTATCTCTAAAATTTAAAGACAAGAATTTTAGTGACAAGATCATACAGATTGGGACTCTACGCATGGGCAAAGAACAACTTTGGCTCATGTCTGGAAGCAGAGCAGAGAAATGAGCAAACACCAGTATTTATGAGTTGTAATAGTTCTCCCATTTTTAATATACTGAAATATTTTTTAAATTAAACCTTTTACCTTTACTAGTCATTGGTACTTATAAGTTGATAATGTGTTAAAAGATTAAAAAAAAAAGTAACTTTTGCTAGTTTTAATTTTCCCCCAAGAATCTTGCTCTATTCATTATTTTTATATACACATCATTTCTACATCAGACTTTATTTTAGCTTATAAATGTTTATCTGTTCTTCACAATGAATGATCGATGAGTATTCCAGTGTCTGGGCAACATCATCTAGCACAGAGGTATACATGTAATGTGGTTATATAAACTTATACCTCAACTGACTTAACCAAAATTATGTTAGGCTCAATTCCTACCACAAGGAAGTAGCCCCCCAAATAACTGTTTTTTAATCTACAGTATCACCCCCTGGAAAAGCAAGCCAGGGGCAGGGCTGGAGTGGGCATGACCACTGCCTTCCAAAGTCTGTATTATTTATAAATAAATAAAGAGTAGCTGAGTCCTCTAGCTTTTAGCACACCTGGGCCAAAGGAAGGTAAGTCACCAAGACTGCACAAGGCATCCACCTATGACAGAGTAGGCAAGAGTCTATGGTAAGATGAACAGAATTCACATACAATGCCCAACTCAGCACTGCTCCCATCATTGGAGGGAAATGGTTCTAAGTTTGAATGAAGGCCTTGGTGACATTGCCTTGTACTTTTGCATAAAAGCTTCTCCTGATCACTATTTTATATTTTTCTAGAAAGTCTAAAGTTGAGAAGAGACTATATCGATCCTGACTTGTATTCCAGTGTTTGGATGGACTGAGTTTTAGGGTAGAATTTTGTTGAGTTTGGATTTAATCTTTTGGATTTAATCTTTGGAAAAATAAATCCCCTGTTTGTTTACTTGTTTGATTACAATTCTCTTTGCTATCTTTAAGAAGTAAAACTGCAAGGTGACTAGCATGTTCTGTGAATCTGCCATTCCTAAAAATTAACATTTGATATTTTTCACTAATAATTGATTGCTGCAATAAATATATATTGTGAAAATGCATCCACAATAAATGGAATTCCTCCAAATGTCATTGCCTCACTTATTTTTATGTACTGTGTTGATTGTAAGAATTCTATCTGTTGGGGCCTCCCTGGTGGTGCAAGGGGTTAAGACACAACAAGTGAAGCTGTCCACAGCCACTGCAGCATGAGTTCTATCCCCAGCTGGCCAGGGAGCTACCCACATGGCACAGCAGACCTCTCCTGACTCGCCCGCTGCTCCTCTCAGCAGTGTATTTCAATCTGCCTGTTATGTTCCTCACTCTGTCTCTGGTGAATCCTCTCACCCCCTGCACCTCTGGCCTGTACCCCAGTTCTTGTATGCATAAATAAATAAATCTTTTTTAAAAAAAGAGTTCTGTTGAAATAAAAATGACATAGCAAGATACTTATTTCAGACTGAATATTGATTTCACTTTTTAAAGAAGACAAGCTATTCCATATTTTTTAATTGCCCTAACAAACATGTAGGGAAAAGACTAGAAAGATTTTAAAAGTTCTTCAAAAAAATTGCCAAATATTCCTCCATCCTCTCTCTCGTTCCCAGTGTTGTCAATCATATTTCCCCTTTTGCTCTTAAAAATGGCAGCTCTGATTTCACAAAAGTAGTGTTTTTATAGTAGAAATACGCATTTAATATATACCATTCATTTGCAAATACTACATACAAAGATGTCTTTTTATAGCCATTTTGCATATTTATGTTTCACTGTTTGCCCTGAAGATTGAGATTGTCCTCATAAAGATTTAAGTTGTGAGTCCACTGCTCCTGAAAAGTCCCCTAAATCCTGAGAGTAAAGTACCCTGGTCTTCACAGATTGGCACCTACCTTCAGCCTGGGAACAACTACATGTCCTAATGGGGAGATAAAGGGTAAGTGATAAAGACATGTAAGGTTACAAAATACTGAGTAACAGTTCAAGAATTTAAGAGATAAAGTATCACAAGGCTGTAGTACATAACTGCCAATATTTTAGAGGGAAAGAGAATCCTTCAGCCTGGGATAATCGGGGAGTGGGGAGATGATGGGGGAGAATATGTATTTTTGTGCCTCTGGGGATATGCCCAGTGCTCTGCACATATGAAGCTTGACAAGTAAGTAATAAAGTGATGATTTTATGAACTCACTTTATAAAGTCTCTGCTGTCAATTTTTGTAGTAAAGTTTTTAGAGTTCTGAGACGTTAGTTAATTTTATGACATTGCTGTTCCCAGATTTATATAAATATAATTCCTGTATCAACTCAACCCCACATATTAGCTCCATAAAGAATGTTGGCCTCTTTCTTAACTCTTACACAGTTTTGATAATACACTTTTGCCAAGGCATGCTTTTAGCAAGGTTAGCTTTTGCTATCTTGACAAATGATTTGAGGGAAAAAAAAAATGTTTCATTAAAATAGTTTGTAGAAGTTCCAGTTGGTCTTTTCTATCTGGAGAAAGAAGCTTCATTCAATAATCTCTTACTAAATATACTAATGTAAATATTATGCAAAAGAAGTACCATCATACAGAATGCAAGATTAATGTCTTAGCTAGTTTTCAACCTTATTCAGCTTTTCTTAGAGTAAATGTTAGCTTTTGTATGTCTAATACTTGCCAACATTACATAACACAGGTGCTTTGAAGTTTTTTTCAAACGATGGAAATCAGCTGTCCTAAATTCACTCAGGTTTCTCAATCCTTGCTGAACATCAGAATCAGCAGTGGAAATAATGGAAATATGGTGGTTGTACTTCCAGGAGATTTTTACCTAGTAGGTTTAGAGTTGAGTTAGTGAATACTGCTTTGCAACTCCAAGTAATACCTTTTCATAATATGTAGATTCTGATACAGGTGCAAGGAAAGTCCTAAAACTTTGCATATCTGACAGGTCCCCAGGTGATGCTGCAGTCTCTGCTGCTACTGTAAGGACCTTCAAAGTTTCTCACTGAAAATCACATAATCTATGGCCATGCCACCCTAAATGTGGCTGATCCCATCTGGAAACAACCCAAGAGCACTGACTGTGACCTAACACTTTACAAGTGTCCCTGATTGCTGAAAGTAGAACATTCCTTTTAGGATGCCTTGGTAGGTCATTTTTGGGATCTGGGAACAATCAAATTTTTTCCCAGATAAATTAGTGGTAACAGCATTCCCAGAACCCAAATCACACCAAATAAAGATACTCTACTTTCAGATGGTGGGGAAACCAGTACATACATAAACTGTCTTCATCCTCAACAATCCTAGCAGATGGCCATTGCTATCACTTTATCCATGATTCCCTCATGTAATCCTAATAACCCTACAAGAAAAATACTGCAAGAGGACAAATTCGGGGAGGAGAAATGGGGGATGATCCAGTTGGTGGTTCCTCACCCCAAGTTTCTGAATGCAAGACACAACCCAAAAGTAGACACGTGGAGGGAAACAAAGCAGGGTTTATTCACACAGGGAGGAAAAGGAAGAACTGGGAAAGAGAGTAGGAAAAGAAAATGTATTGGCCACCTACCCCAGATAGCATCACTCAGCTAAGGCCAACATCCAAGCAGGAGAGGCAGGAAGGGAACCGGCCAAGAAAGCCCTGGAAGCAGCAGTTTAACAGGGGGGTCCCCAGGAAAAGGGGAAGTTCCAGGTTCCCTGCCCCACCCAAAGGAGGATGGAGCTAAAGAGAAGAAGCTGGAGACGGGACAGAGGAAGGAAGGATGCAGGATGGAGAGCCAGGAGACCTGGAGGAGGCGCATGGAGCAGAGAGACACGTGAAGAAACTGCGCTTGCCTTTTTGGTCGTGGACAGGTTGAAGAGGATGTGGGTGAGTGACCTGCGGGGAGGTGACAATGGCAGCTTTTATCTTGATTTTGATTTTGCTCTTTTCCTTCCAGACTTGTCTGGTTGTTTCTGATCCTTTTCTGTGGGTCCCCACTGGAAGATGCTTTAGACTTGTGGCAGGCTTTGGGCCTTGCTCTGGGCCAATCCTTTTTGGGTGGACTTTTACTCACAAGGGGACGGGTAACTTTGGGTGCTTGATTTGCCTTTCCTGTGTTGTTTACTAATTCTATTAAAGTTCCTTTTCATTAAAGTCTCATATGCTTTGTGTTGATGTAGCGGATGGCAAAACCTATTTAGAGCAGGCAGGTTTTCGGTGTCTGCGATGCCCCTCTCCCTGCCCTGTAACAGAAGGAGGGAGGCAAGCCAGAAGCCCCCTGTAGGGCCCCCAGCCACAGACAGGAGCTAGCCAGAGACGCCCAAGGCCAGAGCCCAGAGAGCCACAAGCCACAGACCAGTTGAGAAAGTCCTCCAGCTTGGCCTGCCTGTTCTGCCTTTCAAAGGCCCCACTTCACCTCTCAGTCTGAGAAATTCACATCAGGAAGTCGGGGTACAAAGGTGAGGCCCACAGCTCTCTTACAGCACTAATTTAATTTATTGACATTAAATAAGTTGAAGCACAGAGAAGTTTGAAAATATAAATACTTGCTTAAGGTCATAAGCTAGTACATGGCAGAATACGTGATCGCAGGCATACACTCCTGAGCCTGCCCTCCTAACCTCCCTCAATCCCACACCAGAGCTGGTTACAGCTGAGGAGTGTGTCCCACAGAGAGCCCTTTGTAAGGAGGGTAGGTCAAAGCCATCACTCTCGACATGAGGCCCACAAAGAGCAAGAACAGCACTTGAGACCAACCTTGAGAAGTTGGCTCAGTAACAGGCTTTTGCCCTTGTTGCCCCTAGCCTCTGTTCATTGTTGCACAAGGAACCAGCATCTAGAAAAAAGAAGGTATGAATGTAAATAGCAAAACAATACTTCCCTCCCACTTCCCAAGTCACAGAGCCAGGGATAGAGTTAGGCTGCCTGGGGGTGAGCAGGAAGAGGGTTGGGAAGTAAGTTCAAAAATGAGGTTAAAAATTAACTTAAGGGGCCTCCCTGGTGGCGCACAGGGTTAAGTCTCAGCACTATGAAGCTATTGCAGCCACTGCAGCATGAGTTTGATCCCCAGCCTGGGATATACCCACATGGTGCAGCAGACCTCTCCTGTCTCGCCCACTGCTCCCTTCAGCAACGTATTTCAGTCAGTCTGCCTGTTCTGCTCTCCACTCTGTCTCTGGTGAATCCTCTCACCCCCCGCACCTCTGGCCTGTACCCCAGTTCTTGAATGCATAAATAAATAAATCTTTTTTAAAATGAACTTAATACAATTTCAATACCCAATACCAGAATGAAATCTTAAAAACCCGATGAAACTGTTTTTTTAGCTCACAGTGGTTGAAAAGTTAACATATCCTCCTTGGAATGGTTGAAATCTGGTTAACATACTCTCCTTGGGAATGGGGTTTTCACCACTGCACAATTCAGGAGTGGACTGGCATGGGGGGATGTAAAAAGGCCCCTTTCAGGCTTCATACTGAACATGGGAACATTTTGTCTCTTCTGAACTGATTTATCCATTATTGCTGTGTAGGACAAAGGCCTTTCAGCTTAATTTCAAAGTGTTTAAGAGAACAATGCTTCAGTATCACCCCACATTCAGACCCTTCTCTGGCTCCTCAGCCAAATTGTGACAAGACCTTTAGCTATACATGACCACTGACTGCTATGATGTCATAAATAACTCTCATTGCCCCAGTCACTTCATGGGTTAAGCCCACACCAAACAAACTCAAAATGATACTACATAAAAGAAATTCTCTTCCCAGCACAACTCACCTTTGGCCATGTTGCTCAAGTAAACTTTCCTCTTCGTCCTCATTCTAGCAACTGAGCTTTTTGGAGTATTTTGGCTTTTCTTTTTCTCTTTTGATTTGATTTCTATTATATTGCTTTTAGATAAATTCGTCAAAAAGTTGGAGGAGAAAAGTCATTGCGGGAATATGGCTACCTTCCCTGCAAGCAGAAGGTGGCTATATAAGAAGTCTGTCCAGTAACCTTCTCTGATTAAAATCAAAGGGAAGGGGAACAGAAATGCAGAGCAACAGGAAATCCTTGGTTAGTCCAGGTCTTACTTCCACTCTGAGGTAAAGAATTTCATTTCCACTTTGTGCTACTGTCTGGAATAGAGTAAGTTTAAAAAGATAGAAAAGAAAGGTCAAAAGAAGCAGTTGTTTAAGAAAAGCATGTTAAATTTATATGGGGGAAAAAGTTCTAATGGAAACTTCTTAAAATGATACTGACTGTAGCAAACTTTTGGCTAAATATGACTGCCTGGATATTTGGAACTGGAACTTGGCTTCCCCTCTCTAGCACTGTCCCCCTAAACATCCACATGGCTCACCCCTCACTTCAGGTATCTGCTGCAGTATCTCCTGGTCAGAGGCTTCCATAGACAACCCATCAAAAGAGCCCCCCTATAAAGCATTCCCTATGCTCTTCATTTTTCCCTAAGTAATTTCTCTCCAGAGCAGTTACCATCATCTGAGTGTGTGTGTGCATATGTGTGTGTGTAACTGGCTTGTCTCTCATTTCCCAGCAGTACGTGTCTCCATGAGGAATGTCTGTTTTGTTCCCTGCACCAGCCCTATATTAGGAACAGGCCCTGACAAGGAGTAGGCACTGAAGCTGAATTAATGAAAAAATAAATGAGTGTCATTTTGCAAAGTTTTTTTGAACTTGATGTATTTTTCTTCTGCAGTAAAATAAGTTTTCTCTATGGGAGTATTTGAAATATGACCATGTAAATATTTGGACTAAAAATCATGAAACAAGTCCCAGCTCTGCCAATAATTTCTATATAACCCCATTAGAGCATTTCTTTGCATTTCACCTTATATACCTGACAGCCTATGGCTTGCAACCATAACTCAAAACTCCAACAGGAAAGTGGATTCCATATATAAAAATTTTTTGTGCATGTCACCTTTAGTAACTAACATATAACATATACATGGCATAAAACAAAGCAAAATATAAAGGGTAATTGTTCAAGGGGAACTGATCTAACAGAAGTTAGTTCCTATTTCTTTTTCTGGGAGTCTAAATGGATAACCTTTTAAAAAAAAGTTAATTTTTGGAAACTTACAAAATTTAAAAAAGAGGATATTAAACCCATTTCCATGCTGAAGCCATACTGTCTTGCTCCCTATTTTACTTCCAAACCATTTACTCTCTTTCTACACTACAACACATGGCATGATACATACAGTCCCACAGAGGCCCCAAAAGACTTTTTTCAGCTGCACTTGGAAAATGATTCCAAATATATTACATTATCCACCAGAGCTAACCAGCAGGGGTAAATGGAGGCGGGATGTAAGGCCTAACGTCTATGTCTGCTACGGGTAGATCATATTTAATTAGATGAGACAACAGAAGCGCTGTGCATGGTGTCCCGGGTTAATGATGACCTAACAATAATGGTATTTTAAAAACTCAAAGAAGCTCTGAGCTGAGCAGTATTTTGAGGGTCCTTCCTCGTCTGTTTTCGACTCCTCCATCACGAGGTCTCATTTTGGGGATCCAGCGAGGATGTCCAGGCACCACTGTGCGCAATGCAGCTGGGCCAACCACCAAGCCCCAGCCTTGCGCAGCGCGCCCCGCAGCAGGGACGCGGCACGGGGCGCACCCGCAGAACCCGGGGGCACGTCGCCGCCCTCCGCCCCGCGCGGACCCCCAACCCCGCGGTGACTGTCCTCGCGTGGGGCGCCCGGGACTCCCCAGGGGCGCCCCGAAGTCTCGCGAGGGTGCTCCCGTCGCCTTGGTAACGAGTGGCCTGGCGTCTGCTCCCCTCCGGCGAGCCCCCTTGGTTCTTAGGTGTCTGGAGGCAGCTCGGCGTCTCGGCTCCCGAGCGGGGCGACTGGCCCGGCCGAGAAGTCGGGGCGCGGGCGAGCGCTCGGCCGAGGCGGGGCAGGGACGCGCCGGGAGGGACGGACACCCCGGGCGGGCGGCCCCCGCGGGAAGCGCGCGCGTGGGGAGACCGCGCGGGGTGGATGCGCCGCTCCTCCCCGCGCTGCCAGGCCCCAACGTGAGCTGGGGGGACCCTACCCTGCCCCGAAAGTCGTGGTTCCCGTCGCGGCCGAGTGTGGGCGCCCAGCTTTTGGCTCTTCGGCTTCCAGCCTGGAAGGTACACCCGGGGCGCGCCCCGTGGGTCACCTGTGGGGGATTTTCCTGAAAGGCAGGTGTTACTCTGCAGCGGGTCAGCACCCCCGCTGCTCCCAGAAGGACCTAGAATCAAGCTTTAGGCCCACCCAGTATGACACACTTGCAGTTGCAGGGACCCCCCAGCCTGCAACTTGGTCCCCTAACTCTGGAGAGCAGCTGTTGTGTTTTGTATTTGTGGTTCTTGGCAGTGGAGCTTGGACTTTTTTCTTTGGAGTCCACTCTCCAAAGCTCGCTTTTTGTACAGGGGGAGCATAAACCCCCAGTTTCCAAGTGAGAAAATTCCTTTGGTCTCGCAAAGGAATTTCTTCGTGGCAAGGCATTTTTTTATATCTTTCCACTGTCTTAACCAATTGGGGGCCTCCCTGGTGGCGCAAGGGGTTAAGCACTGCACTATGAAGCAATCCGCAGCCTCTGCAGCACGAGTTCGATCCCCGGCCGGCCAGGGAGCTACCCACATGGCGCAGCAGACCCCTCCTGTCTTGCCCACTGCTCCCCTCAGCAGTGTATTTCAGTGGATCTGCCTGTTCTGCTCCCCACTCTGTCTCTGGTGAATCCTCTCACCCCCCACATCTCTGGCCTGTACCCCCCTGCTCTTGTATGCATAAATAAATAAAAATTTAAACAAAAAAAGAACGAATTGGGAGGATTCTTGCATTAAGAGGTGATTGTCACACCTTCTGATAGCTTTTGAGTTCCGAGAAGAGTGATATAATTGAATATTAGAACTGAGACAAGCATCTAGAGAATATTAACCAAAATAGTCATTTGTAGTCATTTGAACTGTTTGTTGGTCGATTGAAACCTTAATCATAAAAAAAAAAAGTAAACAATATTGCTGTTTCAGTGCCTGGCTAAGTGACCTTATTCATGATCTTTTTAATACCTGGGGATCATTTTGAATTTACTGTGGCTGTATCGTATTTTTACTGTAAATAAAAGATGTAAGTCATTTGATCATCTGCCCAGGAACTTACTTTTCAGTTAGATTGTTTTTTGTCTTTTATTGTGATTTTTTGTCTTCTAAACATGGAAAATTTCCTCAAATCTTGGAAATCAGAGGCTTAATAAACTGTATCCTGATTCATTTTTAGAGAAACCTGTTGTCATTGTTAATGAAATTGACTAAATGTTAATGAAATGAATATTGGTATTTGGGGGTGCTCTAATATATAATAAACATCTGTGTTTTAAGAGAAAACTGTCAAATGTTTCTTATGATTTGTTTTACAGCCAATCTACATAATAAGAGAGATTTTGAGCCAAACACTGGGAGAAATGTCAGAAGACTCAGAAAAGGAATACTATACAGACATCAGTGATGAAGATGAATCAGTATGTTTTTCTAAACTTTATCTTACTTAATTTGAGACAAAATGAAATTCCTGGTTAAAAATTATAAAATCAGGGCCTCCCCGGTGGCGCAGCGGTTGAGCGCTGGGTTGCGAAGCTGCCGGCGACCTCTGCGGCGCAGCGGTTCGATCCCCAGCTGCTCCCCGGCCACTGGAGGAGGGTCCCACATGGTGTGCAGACCCAGACCTCTCCTGCCGCCCGCTGCTCCCCTCAGCAGTGTACTTTGGTCCTTCTGCCTGCTCTGCTCCCCGCTCTGGCTCTGGTGAATTCTCTCGCCCTCTCGCCCTCCCGCGCTTCTGACTGTACCCAGTGCATGTATAAACAAAACAAACAAACAAACAAATAAATAAATAAATAAATAAAAACATGCCTCTATAAATAAAAAAAAAAAATGTGTAAAAAAAAAAAATTATAAAATCAACTTGATATAAAAATCAATTGAACATTTAAATCAATTGTTATTGAATTAGGGGAACAATTTTATTAAAAAACAAGATTTTACTATGTGCAGTATGCCCTATTTAGAAAGAAAAACTCTATTATTGTTGTGTTTTTTGAAATTTGGCTAAGATTTTTCTGAGTTTTATTAAAATGCAAGCATCAAATCATTAGAATTTTTTTATGATTCATTTCCACTTATTTTCTTATTTGTACTAATTCTGTGTAACATTTTGCTATATATCAATACTGAAAATTGCTACGTCCTGGACCAATTATGTGTCTCCATAATAGGTTTAATAATGTGGCTCTGATGTAACAAAGGAAATAACATGGGGGAAGGATTGGGAGGAAAGCAAAATACAGTATTGTAAAAGATTTTATCTGGCATCAGACATTTTTGAGAAATTCCCTTTACATTTCAGTAAAGTACCAATAACTGTGTATGTACATTAAGGTCCCAAAATAATACATAACCCTTTAAGTCTTGGCTTTCTGTGTTTCTTTTTCTTTCTTTCCTTTTTTTTCTTCTTCTTTTTTTTCTTGTTGTTAATTTTATTCTTAAATTGTCTTGCCAAGTTTAGCAAGAATCCTTAAGCTTTATTCCTTCCCTTTAACTATTAATATGACCTTACTACGGGAGGAAGATGAAGGAAAGGTGAAAACTAAAGTTTCAGCATATTTGAAGTAGTCGATGAAGTATTGAGACCATAGCCCGCAATAATCCTTTTTTTTTTTTTTCACTTTTTAAAGATTAAAGGCATACACTCAATTCTAATTAGTAAGATAGATGTAAAAAAAAAAAATTCTGGATTAGAAACTGTTGATTTTGAGAAGAGACCTTTTTTTCGATTATCTTCTAGGATGAGGATACCTTCTTGAAATTTGTGAGTGAAGATATCCACCCATGTGCACTTTTAGCAGGTTTGAACTTATCCATATATTCTCCCTTCTCTTTATAAGACCTTGAGTGATGAAAAACAAAACATGAGGAAACTAAGAGAAAAGTCAGATTGAATAATACAGGGAATTATTATGGTTTTGTGGTATAGAGAAATATATCCACTTCTTTTTTTAAAAAAAAGATTTATTTATTTTTATACAAGAGCTGGGATACAGGCTAGAGGCATGGGAGGGTGAGAGGATTCACCAGAGACAGAGCAGGGAGCAGAACAGGCAGACGACCAAAATACACTGCTCAGGGGAGCGGCGGACGCCACAGGAGAGGTCTGCCGTGCCATGTGGGTAGCTCACTGGCCGGCTGGGAATCAAACCAGCGCTGCAAAGGCTGCAGACAGCTTCAGAGTGCTGCGCTTAACCTGCTGAGCTACCAGGGAAGCCCAGAAATATATCCACTTCTATAAGAAAAGCTGCAAGAAAAAAATATTTTGGGAGTAGCAGTGAGAAGGTAGCAGAGAGTAATAGTGATGATGTCAATGACTACTTTTTAGCTATTATGAAAATCAATTACTACAGAATTTCATTAGTTCTTTTATTTTTGAAGTGCCTGAATTCACAAATTAATAGTGCTGGAAAGAAAAAAAGGAACTGTGTAAAAGTTATAGGAAGTGGGATTCTCCTGTGTGTTACTCATGATTGTGTTTGAATCTTTTTTCAGCTGACTCTTTTAGTGATCCGTTTTTCCCCCGAACTACACAGATATTGTTGGAATATCACCTAGGACAATGGGTGCCACGTCTCCGTGAACCCCGAGATTTATATGGTGTTTCCTCTTCTGGTCCATTGAGCCCAACACGGTGGCCTTACCATTGCGAAGTCATCGACGAAAAAGTTCATCATATAGGTACAGTCTTAAAAGTTCTGGGGATTCTCACATTAGCAAACTTATGTTACCTGCCTTGGCTTACTGCTCATCTACCTAACACTGTAGTTTCTGGGGTACAGCTTCACACCTCACTCATTGTGCACATGATTAACTCACCCAACATAGTAGCTCCTGTACCCTTATATCACATAACCCCCTCCATTCTTTCCTCCCTTTACCCATCCCCTCCCTTCTGGTATCCATCTTATTTGTCAAAGTCCATTTCTTTTTTAATGTTTGATTATTTTATCTGCTCTATACAGTATGTCATCTAGCAGTGATGTCATTAAATCTCATTTCCAATTTTTATACATCATACTTCTTTTTCTTTTTTTTTTTTTTAAAGATTTATCTATTTATACAAGAACCAGGGTACAGGTCAGCTGCATGGGAGGGTGAGAGGATTCACCAGAGACAGAGCAGGGAACAGAACAGACAGACTGACAAAATACACTGCTGAGGGGAGCAGGGGGCGAGACAGGAGAGGTCTGCTGTGCCATGTGGGATTCTCGCCGGCCGGCCGGGATCAAACCCGCGCTACAGAGGCTGCAAACAGCTTCACGGTGCGGCCCTCAACTGCCTGCACCACCAGAGAGGCCCCATACTTCTTTTTTTCTTGACTGGAACTTTAGTATAAAATCAATGATACAAATAATAAGGAGCTACTCACTGTAATGATTTAGAACAAAGCTCAAGCAAATGAAGTGTTACGGGTTTGAATACTGTGGCACAAGTCCTACTCCTGGTGAACCCTTAGCAAAACCCATTCCCTCATAAAGCATGCAATTTTAGCCTAAATCTACCAACGAATAGTTTGAAGATATATAACAACAGTTTCCATTTTATTTTGAAGTCACATTCAAATAATGTTTTCTGTCTTTGCAGACTGGACTCCCTATCCTGAGCCTGTGTACACCCCAACAGGCCTAGAGATAGAACCCTTTTATCCACACTCCAAGGAAGACACTGTGGTTTATCTTGCTGAAGATGGTAGGCATATAATGAGACATATGATTATAAAATATAATTGCATACCTGGCTTAATATCTTATATTTGCTGTTTATTGTGGAAATTTCATGTTTCTAGCCATCCCGTTTCTCATAACAATGTTTGATAGTTGTTGCAAAATTGATTTAGTGCTAATTGTATTCTTGAAGATGTATTGGAGTTTATGCAAAAATACTTTAAAATAAATTACCACTAAATTCTAAATATAAACACAGATTTTAAATATATTGAAATTACAAATATAAATTATAGATATTCAAAATAAATATATCATGGAATTATATTTAGAAGGAATTATGCTTCTCATCAACATTCATTTAGAATGAAAGGACAAGTTCACATCCTACTACATCGTAACCAAAAGTGGAATGAATATTACTAATGTGAGAAATATATGAGTTTCTTTTAGACATTGCCTAAAAACTCTAAATTTTGTCTAGACATGCTTAGACTTTTTTACTGCAACAAATATCTATATAATTTAGTGTAAAAATACTTTAGAATTTACAATCCTTGGTGGTACACCAATTATACTTGTACTGTAGCTCCAAATCACAGAATGGCTGGTGTCCATTAGTCGTGGCTTGATACCTTTGTGGTCTTCTCTCATCAGTTTACAAAGAGCCCTGCTTTGTGTATTCCCGAGTTGGCGGCAACCGGACACCCCTGAAACAACCTGTGGATAACTGTGACCATACTTTGATGTTTGAAGCAAGGTTTGAGAGTGGTAATCTACAGAAGGTAGTCAAAGTGTAGGTCTTTACTTTTGTTTAAGGAGCTAGACCATCAGCTATTATTTTCTTTGTTAGGTATATTCAAGTCTTAGTATCAAGGAGCTACAAGGAATTATGCTCAGTGAAATAAGTCAGAAGGAAAAAGAAAAATATCAGATGGTTTCACTTGTAGGAGAAATATAGGGGAACTTAATAAGACATCAGGGGAAAAAATAACAATATGAAACACAACAAAACAAAAACAGACAATTATAAACCAGAGACATCCTGCAAGGGAGGGAGAGGGAGAGGGGCTGGAAGGAGGGAGGGAGGAGCACAGGGGACTGAGGTGATGGTGCACGGGTGCATTGATGGAGGAAATTTTATGGGGACTACACCTGAGGGGGTATTTAAAAAGGAACAATGATGTAAAATATATATAAATAAATAATTTTTTTAAAAAACTAATTCCATCAAGATACTAGAGATTACTTGGGAAGAAGAAGGAATTAATGGTTCTGGGTTCAAGTAATTTTGAGAACTATAAGTTAAAATTAAGCCAGTTTCTATACTATACATTTTTAGTATACCAGTGTGAATCATCACACAGACTCCTTCTCAACCTTTTTAATAAAACAGTTCTTGGAATAAGTATTCCATAAAATATGCTTGGGAGGGCCTCCCCTGTGGCACAGTGGTTGAGCGCTGGGTTGTGAAGCTGCCCGCAGCCTCTGCAGCGCTGGTTCGATCCCTGGCTGCTCCCCAGCCACCGGAGGAGGGTCCCGCAAGGCGCGCAGACCTCTCCTGCTGCCCGCTGCTCCCCTCAGCAGTGTGCTTCGGTCCTTCTGCCTGCTCTGCTCCCAGCTCTGGCTCTGGTGAATTCTCTCACCCTCCCATGCTTCTGACTGTACCCAGTGCTTGTATAAATAAATAAAAATAAATCTTAAAAAAAATATATGCTTGGGAATATGCTGGTACCCAAGGATATTCTTTTCAAAAACTTTTTTATTATGAAAAATTTCAGCCATACATTACAGTATAGAGAATAATACAGTTCTGCATTAACTACTATTTACCCATCACCTAGATCCATCAAGGTATTGCAGCCTTGATTTTATCTGTTCCTTTGTCAGTTTTTATAACTACAATCACACACCATACAAAATAAGTACATCGTGCTGGTAGCAGGAAAAATAACTAGTAAAATAAAAGTCACAGCAGGTAAGATTGTTATGTATGTATAAATGTGTACATATATGTAATGTAGCACTGAAACTATTTTTTGCCTTTATTTAGTATCCTCAATGAGTAAGTAATGGTTGTGAAAATAGTTATCAAATACAGTCCCTGCCCTCAAAGAATTTAAGACTTCATAATTTATGTGGTCAGATTAATTTATATATGTTTTTAACATTTCTTCATAGTAATTAACTCAGATCCCTAGAGTTAGAATCTAATAGAAAACAGAAATATATGTCTGAAGTGAAAAAAAATTGGATTTTAATTCCGTTTTAGGAATTCTTAGTCATTTTTTCCATAAGAAATATAATTGGACTGAAATACATAATTTTTATCACATTTTTATATGCTCTCTTGAATTACAAAGGAATAAAAAGGCTTTCGAATTAACATAGAAGGAATTTCACATCCAATAAAAGAGAAATGTTAACACTTTTATCTTTTGCAACTACATGTATACAACCTAAATAAATATTGTTTCCCACCTACCCTGTCCAAAACTTTCTTTGACTAGGTAAAAATAAAATAATTTTCCTTATTTAAGTTTGAATATCAGTTTTACATTTTAATGTGCATTCTTCCCTTTCTTTTTTTGCGCACTAGGGCAGAGTATGAGTACCAGCTGACTGTGCGTCCAGATCTCTTCACAAACAAACACACCCAGTGGTACTATTTCCAAGTCACTAACACCCAAGCAGGAATCATCTATAGATTCACAATCATCAATTTCACCAAGCCTGCTAGTCTCTACAATCGGGGTATGCGCCCACTGTTTTATTCTGAAAAAGATGCCAAGGCCCATAATATTGGTTGGCAGAGAATAGGAGACCAAATCAAGTACTATCGCAACAACATCGGGCAAGACGGGCGCCACTATTTCTCTCTCACCTGGACATTTCAGTTTCCACACGACAAAGACACCTGCTACTTTGCTCATTGCTACCCATACACTTACACCAACCTGCAGGAGTACCTTTCTGGCATCAATAATGATCCAGTACGGTCAAAGTTTTGCAACATACGTGTCCTGTGCCACACGATTGCTCGGAACATGGTGTATGTCTTGACCATCACCACCCCCTTGAAGAACTCAGACTCAAGAAAGCGAAAGGCCGTGGTTCTGACAGCCAGGGTGCACCCCGGGGAAACCAACAGCTCTTGGATGATGAAAGGCTTCCTAGATTATATTTTAGGAGACTCAAGCGATGCACAGCTGCTTCGGGACACCTTCGTCTTCAAGGTGGTGCCCATGCTGAATCCGGACGGTGTGATCGTGGGGAATTACAGGTGCTCTTTGGCAGGGCGAGATTTGAACCGCAGCTACACGTCTGTCATGAAGGAGTCGTTCCCTTCGGTCTGGTACACCCGGAACATGATCCGCAAGTAAAACACACCTCAAATTACCTCTCTGCTTGTTTAGTAAACTTGGTAGTTAAGAATTTTGCTCCCACAATCCTACTCGTTTTACTTTAGCTCTTTCTTCAGCTAGTTTAATAATGTCCCCCTTTTTCCCAGCCTTGCTTCTGTACCTTTCTAGCATTATGTCCCTAGATTCGTTAACCTTCTCTTATATAATGAAATAGAGTCTAGAACATTTTAATGACTTTGCGAAAGTAATAGTTAAATTTGCAGATCACAGATTTGGTTTCTTGCCAAAGCTTATAGTAGCATTGATGTTTTTGTTGCAATCCTTGAATTCCTTACATATGAAAATTATTTACATCTCACAGCACCTCCTACTTCTATGTTGATCACACAATGCTCTGTGAGTTTTTTATTATCAGCTTACATTGTTATTTAAACTTTAGTGAATAATAGTCTTATCTGCTACCTGAAAAATTATGTTTTTTTTAAAAGACTCCAGAACAGTAAATGTACATATTTAAATATTTTTGAATGACTGGGTGAATTCCTTAATAGATACAGATAACAGCAATCAGGAGTAGACAAACACTAAAGTAAAAAGACTCACTGAAGTCAGAGATACCTATTGCAGCCCAAACCCTCTGGCTAAGAGTGTGGAGTCTAGACTTAAAACATGAGACTGAATCTCTCTTTAATCATTTGCTAGATGTGACCTTGAACTATTTAAAAGCAAATCTAATCCTCAGTTTTCTCATCTATAAAATGGAATACTCACTGCACAGATGGGAATATTAAGTGAGAATATTCATTATTCAAGTGCCCAGAATAATATCTTGAACATCAGGGTTTTAAGTGTATCCAGTGTGTTTCCTAAAATGAAAAAAGGAAGTGAATCAGACATAGATGTAAAAACTCTTTGTAAATTATTTAGGGTTATACAAATATCACAGTAAATACTACTACGGAGAGTGCTTATGTCCTTATCCAGCTTCGTTCCCAGAACCCCTAGTACAAACACAAGAACCCTATTTCAAAGCTAAGAACCTCAAGGAGACCCCGCGTTACTCTGAGACAGGGACAGGCTTTAGGCACATCTGGCATGTTCCACTTATCTTAGTTCACTCTCAATTTTCACTCTTATATTAATCCTTTCAATGCTTATGCTCATTGAGAATGGAAGTAAAGATCCTATAACAAAGGACTAAAAACCCTGGTTTTGTACCCCTCAAAAATGTGGCCTCCAGGATTCTTGCAAGGCATTAGGAAATGTTTAAATGATAAAAGAATAATCTGTAAATTGTTTTCCTGGGAATGGCAAACCATAGAAAGGGAGCTAACTAAATGCCATGAAGACATTAGTGGAAAAATTAGTGAAATCCAAATAAGACTGGGAGTTTACTTAATATTAATGCATCTTAACCAAAGATTGGTTTCTGAGTTTTTGACAATGTGCCACGGTTATGTAAGATGTAACATTAAGGGAAACTGAGTGAGGGGTACATGGAAACTCTTTTTGCAAATTTTGCATAAATCTAAAATATCTCCAAAATGAAAATTGTATGTTTTTATATAAAAAGGGAGTGGGTGGGATGCCTAGTAGAGCATCTGTACTATCTACTTCATGCTTTTTGGCATTAGGGTTCCTGGTCAAACACAAAATGGATTAAGGCCAAGGCCCCTTGGCTTGTCTCTACGAAAAATATCTTAAATGTCCCAGTTCTTCCCAGATTGCCTAGTAAAAAGGTTGAGGCAGGAATCTATTCAATAAATTTCAGAGAGACTCCAACAAAAAGAATTACCTTCATGCAATGAATCATGGCAGGTAAGTAGAATAAGTCAGTCATATATGGAAAGGCAAGCAGCTGTCAGTGTATCTAAGACTGAGCATATTTAAAGTATATGCGAATAAGAGACAGTAGCTTTTAATATGAGATACTTAGAATATCTTAGTTTTCTGTAAGGGAAAATAAAACCTTCAAACTGTTTCTAAAGTGATTTAAATTAATGTGAAATGAGAGACCCTAGTAGCCAGTTTTGCTTCAGAAGTAATAACACTTCTTTGGAAAATAATTACTTAGAGGTAGAGGTTTCTTTTGACTCATTTTTAAGCAGCTAAAGGATTATTAAAACTTGGAAAATGTTGGCTTGAAAAAGTATAGCATATTTCATGTTTAAAGACCTTACTTGATATTCTTGCCTTATCATCTAGTTTTCTAAAAACTTAAAATTGTCATTTAGTGGCTTTAGATCAATCTTATGTTATCAACTCTAACTAATTGGCCACCAAATGAGAAGAGGGCAATAAAATTAATACATGTAATAGATTTCAGTTTAGGATTTCGCTTTAGTTTAAAGGAGTTATTTGATTCTAATAGAAGCTATGCTTTGAATGTTTGATTTTAGGTTTTAATATCTTTGTAATAAAAGCAGTGCATTTCATAGTACTATAAATGCCATTGCTAACATTTTGGTATTTCTCCTCCAAATATAACAAAAGCTTATGTAATTTTTGGTTACTTAGTATAACAATGCTGTATAAGTTTGGAAATATGGGGGGGCGGGGGAGGTAAAATGCCCATAATCCTGTTACTACCTTTTTTAATCTTTAAAAAGTTACTTCTATTGTTTTCATCAATCAATTTGAGGAGCTTTTTTTAATTGCTTTCATATTTATTGAATGTTGAAATTACACAGACTATGGATTGTGCTCTTAAGAAATGTATAATTCCTCAAAATATTTATTAGAAATTTACCAGATAAAAAAATCAATTCAAACTTTGGTATCATTTTTCTCAAAATGATACCATATTAATCAAGAGTTAACTATTAATTGGTTTCAGCACCAAATCACCAGGAATTTAATTTTTAACAAATATGTGGGTACTTGTGTGCATAATACTGTTGTAGGTGACTTGTAGGTGTTGAAGGTTTCCCTATCCTCAAGAAGATTAAATATAAAAAATGTAAACACTAACCTAGTCAAGTGCCATGTAAATGGTACCAATAATAAATGCTTCAGGAGCTCAGAAACAGAAAAACCTACAAGCTTGACTAGTTAGCAAATAAGTAAGACTTGAGATTGGTCTTGAGGAATAAAGGCAAAGATTAAGAAAGACTATTCCAGGGTGTGGGGGGAAGCAAATATTGTCTAAAAAAATGTAAAAAATTATAAATGTTAAAATAAATAAATAAATAAGAAAGACTGTATTCCAGCTAGAAAACTATAGGTATAAACTGTTTTCTATATACAACAGAAGAGAAAAAACTAGAGGAATTTTGTGGAAGAAAGTGCTGGGAATAAGAGATATTTTGTCCTTAAAATGGAAAACCAAAGCATTCATATTTTAAGTATAGTTAATAGGAAATTATTGTAGATGTTTTAAATTTTATATGGTAGTAACAATCTGTAGGCTAAATGAGAAAGAAATTAAAACTAGGTTATAAAAAAATTGTGTTTATTTGAATGTTACACTTATAAATCCGTAGTTACACTCATAGAAGAAAAATGCAGAGGTAAAATTGAATAATATGTTCTTTTTCTTCTTGGTAGGTTAATGGAGAAGAGAGAGGTTATTTTATATTGTGACCTTCATGGCCACAGTAGGAAAGAGAACATCTTCATGTATGGCTGTGATGGTGGTGACAGATGTAAAGCATTGTACTTACAGCAACGAATCTTCCCACTGATGCTCAGCAAAAATTGTCCAGATAAAGTAATCAGCTTTTCAGATTTTTTTAAAGATTTATTTATTTATGCATACAAGAACTGGGGTACAGGCCAGAGGTACAGGGGGTGAGAGGATTCACCAGAGACAGAGTGGGAAACAGAACAGACAGGTAGACTGCAATACACTGCTGAGGGAAGCAGCGGGCGAGCCAGGAGACGTCTGCTGTGCCATGTGGGTCACCTCCCTGGCCAGGGATCTTACTTGCGCTGCCGTGGCTGTGGATAGCTTCATAGGTTGCATCTTAACCCCTGGCGCCACCAGCGAGGCCCAGCTTTTCAGATTTTTAACTTTGTTAAATGTTGTCCAAATGAGACAGGAGAATAGAGGATCTTATTCAGTAAATTGCTTTTTTATTTAGTTATGTTGACTGGTTTATACAATTGACCACAGAAGGAAACTATGGAAATATTTAGTGGCCAATAAATAATTGAAATATGAAGAATTCTTCTAACACCATACTCATGATAACAGATTGATTGCTTTCCTCCTAAAGTCAGGAAAAAGGCAGTATTCTTTCCCCTTCAATTCAGGCTTGTACTGGAGGTTCTAATTAGTGCAATAGATAAGAAAAAGGAATAAAAGGCAGACTGATTGGAAAGGAAGAAATAATGAAGACAACAGAATTTTCATCATAGAAAATCCAAAGTAATGCACACACACAAAAATAACTCCTAGACCTAATAAGTGAGTTTAGCAATGTCACAGCTATACAGTTAGCCTACAAAAACCAGTTGCATTTCTACATATGTACAGTAAACAGTTGGAAACCAAGATTAAAGACAACACCGTTAACTATAGCTACAAAATAATGAAATACTTGTGGCCGCAAAGGGATGGCACCACAGAGTTTCAAGGGTGATTGAAATGTGGTAGTGGTTACACAAATCTATGCATGTGTTAAAATCCATAGACTACAATACCAAAAAAGTCCTTTTTATTGCATGTTAATTTTTAAAAAATCACAAAAAGTCTTTGTAGACACATATTATCACAGTCTTTCAAGACAGATTACAAGTGGTCTCTCCTATGAAAGTAAAGCATATTCTGAAAAGCATCCAATACTGATCTTCATTTCCAAACATGTTTATCCTGGAGCTTTTTCAAGATCTTATTTCAATAGTATCAAGAATTAATAACTGGTTTTGAATGCATTTATATGTAAATTAAAAAGTAAAATTTATTGCAGGGACTCAAATCTATAGTCTCAGAAATGTAAGTATATCATCCTTGCCTTGAGTTATTCCCTCTGGTCGAGAAATAAAAGCAGCCCCGAAAGCTGTAGAGAATTACTGCTTCGGCGTAACTGCTTTTTTTTTTCAACCCCACTTCTAGGAAAGACATTAACTGTCAGAGTAACAACTGGGCTCATTTTCATTTATGTCTTTCCAGTTTTCATTCACAGCTTGCAAGTTTAATGTTCAGAAGAGCAAAGAGGGAACGGGAAGAGTAGTGATGTGGAAAATGGGAATCAGGAACAGCTTCACCATGGAGGCCACTTTTTGTGGATCTACTCTGGGTAAGACCAGTCCTTCTCGTGACTCAGAGCTTTAAACCCAAGAAACTTAAGGTTAATAATGTAAACATTCCAATAGTGAGCACTTCCCACTTAGATACATGCTGATAGCCCAACAATTCTATAAATTGGGTGAATAAATGAGCTTCTATAGCCCATCATTTTCCTTTGCCTAGAAAATGTAGTTTTAACATAGAGATAGATTAGCTGGCTGATTGTTTCATGACTTAATCTTTAATTGCCTTTTCTTTTCTTTTCTTTTTTTTTTAAAGCTTGGGTTCCTACAGACTAATGATTCCAAGAAAAAGTATAAAAAAGTATTTTTATACTTAAAATCAGAAATGTTTTTTAGTGGATTTGTTATTTGCAAGGCAAAATAGACTTTTTTAGAGTGAATTTATATTTAAATGGAAGCTCTTGATGCCTTGAACTGAAAATAAAAGTATGTTCAGTAGTCCCAATTAAGAAATCTTTTAGTCACAACTCGCTTATCCTTAGAATACTCCATGATAAGATATTGTCACTTTCTCAGAAAAATGTGTGAACTGGAAGGAAGGGGCTAGAAGTCCATACATGTAATTCCTGGCTAGTTTTTATAGCACCTTGAAAGTGATATAATATTATTAATGACAATAAGATTATTAAAATATTTATCCCAGTTTTTCTGTAAATGATTATATGGTCTTTATGACTGGTAAGCATGTATTCTATAACTTTTTTATGAATTTTCTTCTGCCTTATAACATAGACCAACTTGTGTTAAGATAGCTTTGGTCCACCTAGGGAAGAGAAAATGAGGGTCAGCAGTAAATTGTTAAATAAAGCTGACCCAGACAAGCAAATCCAAAGGACAGGATATGGAATTATATCACCTATTTTGCTTATCTGTTTTGCAACTTAGGCCTACCTGCTAAGGAAAATTGATTAACTCATGCTCAAGGGTGGATAAACTTATTGATGTTGTAGGTAATAAACGAGGTACTCATTTCAATACAAAAGACTTGGAGTCAATGGGATATCATTTTTGTGATTCTCTCTTGGACTTTTGCGATCCAGACCGAACCAAGGTAAGCAAAGTCCACTTGGTCGTGCATCAGACTCTGGTCTCTGAGACAATAGGCAGCCTACAGGCCTATAGCACTTTCTCCTTTCTAATATCCTAGCAGTGTTCAGGGGTTCTTGGTACTTGATGTCCCAATAGCAATTGTTGCAGGTGTTAATTAGAAAATAAAGTTATGAAGTTATCTTACAATGAACTCACTTATCATTTTACCCTAGTATTATCAGTGCCTGAAAGAGTTAGAAGAAATGGAAAAGCATATAAGCTTAGAAAAATCCCTTGATGACTCAGATGCTTCTCTGAAAGAAATTACACTGGATCTAGAGTCTAGGTAAGACAAGGGGCTAGAGGGCCTCCCCGGTGGCGCAGCGGTTGAGCGCTGGGTTGCGAAGCTGCCCGCAGCCTCTGCAGCGCTGGTTCTGTACCCAGTGCTTGTATAAATAAATAAATAAATCTTAAAAAAAAAAAAAAAAGACAAGGGGCTAGAAGTAATGTAATTTGTTGTACTATTTCACTGTATTCCTTATATAATGCTAGGATATAACTACCAATCTCAAATGAAAATCCTGTCTGTAGGTAGAGAAATTTTCCCATGTACACTCTGGCCAAACCTTATCAAGTCCTCATTTATTCAGGAGATATTAATCAAGCAGCTAAGTGAATTCTATGTAAAAGACATGCTCAAATTGTTTCCAGTGCTGCCATTACCCACAAGAACTGACACATTATTTATAGAGATGCCACAATGATACTCTGAATGAACAATAAGCACAATTCAATGTTAAAGGAATGTTGTTGGGAAAAGGAAGCTACTAGTTTTAATACGCTCATAAGAAAGGCCTAACAAATGTTTGGCTTTTCCCGCTTTATAAAATTTCAGACTCCAAGTTAGTGCCCCTGCAGCCTCCAGTGGTGACTGATAAGCTGATTGCAAATGGAGAGTATCGCTTGGAATTCATGGATTTGTGTGTATGTGTGTGTGTTTGTGCTTTGGTCAACTTCAGTTATTCTAATACTCTGAGATGCCTAGAACTGCCAGACATCTCCAGCACTTTTGTTAACATTCTTCTTCAAATTAGAACTGTTAATACAATTCCAATAAGATAGTAAAGTAATAGTTGAAACTTTTAAATGCCTCCAGTACATTATGTGAACTATAATTTTGTCTTGTAGTAGTCGAGGCTCTGACAGTTCAGACTCCAACGATTCTCAGACTTACCTTCTCAAGTTCACTTCTCAGGTATGACTGAAAGTTTCTGCCTGTGTTGTGGATATGCTAAATAGAACCATGAGAGAGAACTGAATTTGAATTTCTGTTATTTATAAGCAATCCAGTGTGTGGTATTGCCATGTTGTAGCCAAGTGGACTAAGACATTCTACCTTTAGACCAGACAACAGTTTTCTATTGCTGGGTGACACATTTCCCCAAATCTTTACAGCTTAAAACAGTAAACATTATTATCACACAGTTTCTGTGACTCAGCTGTCTAGGAAGGGCTTAGCAGGGCACTTCTACCTAAGGTCAAGAGGCTGCAGTGAAGGCATTCTTCACTCTCCTGTGAAGGCTCACAGGGTTGATGACAAGATTCTGTCTCACTCACAGGATTAATGACAATATTCAGTTCCTCACGTTCCTTCATGGCTACCGGCTGAAGGCCTGCCTCAGTTCCTAGTCACATGGGTTTCTACAACATGCCCCTGGCTCCCATGAGCTGGCTCCCATCAGTGACCAAGCAAGAGAACAAATGAGGACACACACTAGAGATGCTACAGACACATCCCATCCTAATCTCAGAGTCATTCCTTTGAGGTGAATCACTAGGTTGAGCCCACACTCAAGCAGAGAGGATTATACAAAGCCAATAATCGTCACATAGTTTAGGTTTCCCTTAGGACATCCTATTTCTAGGTATCAATTTCTATATTACTCATGTTTTACTTCATTAAAACAAAATCCTAGACTCTCCAGTAGCAAATATCCATTTTCTTGTCCATGGATTGGCAGATTAGCTGTGACTCCACTGGGCTAATTAATCAATGCTCAGTTGTACTTAGCTCCAGACTATGATTTGGATTCAGGTCAATTCCACACTCTTTTCTGGCCTCCAAAGTTTCATGAGAAATCTGCTAATCTTGTTCAGGGTTTCTTGCATGTAACAATTTGCTTCTGACTTGCTGCTCTCAAGATTCTCTCTTTGTCTTTGACTTAGAAAGTTTGATAATAATCTTGGTTTAGGTTTGTGAACTCATCTTACTTGGAGTTCATTGAGCTTTTTGGATGTTTACATTGGTGTCTTTCATCAAATTTTAATTTTCAGCCATCATTTCTCATCTCCTTGGATTTCTTGGTTTCTGGCTTCTCCAGCTTAAGGCGGCACTATAGGAGGCAAAAAGAAAACTACTCTGCCCTCCTGCTCCTGGGATCCCTCACCTGACTACCTTCTTTCATTTTAAAGCCTTTTATACTTATTCCTTATAAATGCCAAGGATTTTAGTGGAAGGGGTAGGAAAAGTACTTCTCCATATCCCTAGAAGTGTATGTCTCAAGATAGTTGTATTGATTAACTATTGATTTTAAATATGATTCTTTTATCTAGATAAAGAAAAATAAAAAATATCTAAAAACAAAGAAGGAAAGAAATTCTGCCATAGCAAGTCATCGAAATGCCAGAAGAGAGCAAGAGGTAAATATTTATTGATCCAGTTAACAGTTTTGGAAATATGATAGCTAGATAATGACAAGTTTTTCCTTTTATATTCCTTATACCCAGCTCAGCTCCACACTTTACTGGGTGGGGCAGAGAACATGGACCCTCCTTTTTATGGAGATTACACCCTGTAACAGTAGTTAGTACTCTAAAGAAACCATCTCTTTGAGGGTGAGTGAAGGAAGGTTTTATAGCGGGGGCAAAATATAAGGACCTGAGGGCCCTGGGGAGAGTTTCTCCATCCTCAGGTCAGGGAAGGCACTGGACACCTAGGGGCAGTTAGTCACAAGAGTATCCATGACCTTCCTGAAACAGTCGCTCTCTTCTGTGTTTGTTAGCCACTGATATTATCAGCATCCCCCGAGGGAACAGAAATATTTCCTTAAGCATGAAGCAACCTACTGCCATGTCCCTGAGGAATGTGGCAAAACAGCTTCCAAGGCAGGGTGAGGTCTTCCTTCTTGGTTCAGTATTCTTCTCCATCTAATCCTATGTCCCATTAGGTTTGCAATAAAGGAGAAATTGTGCAAAAAGAACAAAAATCGAATTCTGATGCGAAAGGTAATGTTCTGTTGCTATTCTTTCATAGACAACATATTTAATCAATAAGCACTTTTTTCATGCCACAACTTTGAGGCTGCCATTGCGCTCAGTGCTAGAAGTACTCGAAAGTTATACTACCCGACTTTCTTCCCTCTGGTGTTCATCTTTTAATGGGGGGAGAGGGGAATAAGTAAACAAGTGTAGTGTTGCAAGTGAAATGCCAGTAGTCTGGATAGGTGCCCAGGGAGCCCAGAGAAAGGACAGGTCAGTTACTGCTGGCCTGGAATAAGCCAACCTCCAGAAATGCAGTAAGTGAAGGCTTGAAACCAGCGGTTCACGAACTTGAGGGTTAGCCCTGACTTGAAAGATTTTTTTCACCAAATGGAATATGTGGATTTCATGTTTTAAAAACCATCTCACCCTCTCATTTCATAACTCAATAGAAGATGTGCCCAGGTGAGAAATTAAATTACATTTGCCTCTCCTGGAATCTACTAAGTCTGACTCTAACTTTTCTGGTATTTAAAAAAATTTTCCTCTCTTTATGTAAAATTCTATTAAATATATTCATATAATTTAAGCAATATTTTAACTTTATCTAAAATAATTCTTTAACTTTATGTGTATAGGTATTAACTTACTATATTTTTATTCCATATTTCTTTCCCCAAAAAAATTTTTAATTAGTTTATAACATAACAGACTAATTAAGTATACAGATGGAGATTTTTTAAAGACACCCCAAGGAAAAAAGAGAATTCTGTTATAATTAAGATGGTTCATTTGCTTGAACTTTTAAATATATTAACTTTTATTCAAAGATAATACAAGAAAGACATGTTTTGGTTATTTGTAAAGTGAGATTAATCAAAGATCTAAGAAAAGTTGTATCTGATTAACATAGTTGACTACTTAACAAAAAGTTCTGTCTTTTGTAAATAGTAACTAAATTTATACATAAAGGAAAAAATATCTTTAAAACCATTCAAATTCAGTTGAATCCCATACATCGGTATCGTCATCAAACCTTTAAAGTGTGTCCTTAAGAAATTAAAAATACACACCAAAACATGACCAACATTGAACAAAAGAAAATATAAATAAGGATAATTTATTTTATTTTAGAAGTTTGATATCATACATATTCATTTGAACTTTAATGTCAGTGTCACCAGACTTTTCTACTATTTTAATTGGATTTTCCGCCATTTGTTGTTCCAAACGTTGTAATTAATACAGTTGCAAAATAAATGTTCATTAACCTAAAAAAGGTAATGTCAAAAATTAGAAATAAAAACCACATTTTAGAATACTAATCCCTTTTCTATAGCTGTACACATACACTCCATGTTAATCACATAATCTTCATGTTTTGAACCCGCGTTATCATTTAAAGTTAGTTTATTGTAAACTTTTTTGCATGTTAATAAATGGTGCAAAGTATTCCATTATATTTACAAATCTTATTTATCCACCCCATTGTTAAACTTGTTTTGTTTACATTTTTTCTTTTTTAAACAACAATGAAGACCTTATAATTCCTGATTTGTATATACTCTTAATTAGTAACTTACTTCTAGAAAGAAATTACTGACCAAAGGAGTATGAACATTCTTTAGATTTTTGCTATAAATAGCAAAAATGCAACATAAATTCACAGGACTGGAGGAACTGTTTGTATTAATTTCATTGACCTAAATTAACATTTATATATCACATAATATTTGTAATAGAATCAATGAATCATTTCATGCTGTTTTTTTTTTTTTTTTTTTTTTTTTTTTATTTCATGCTGTTAATGATCTTTTACCATCTTTTCTAGATACAAGGCCAAATGACTCTGATGATTGTATATTTGATTTTTTCAGAACACAGTTCCCTACTCAAACTTTGAGTGAGTAAAACAGGAATAAGTGGTCATTATCATTTAGAGCAAAACCGCTCTCCTGATTCATGAGTTGCATTTTACTGTAATAACCATTTATTCTCTTTTAATTTGAAATAGTCGGTCTTTCTTGGTTATTCACAGCACTGGCATATTTGGAGATGATGGGCCAGTTGTTTTAGAGAATGTCTGCTTTAAAATTTTAGTGTACACAAGAGTTGTCTGGGAAACCTAAGAAAACTCCAGCTTCTGATTCTAAGTTGATCTTTGTTGTCAACCTCTGGCTTTTTATAAGATTTTTTTAAGATTTATTTATTTATGCATACAAGAGCTGGGGTATAGGCCAGAGGTATGGGGGCGTGAGAGGGTCCACCAGAGACAGAGTGGGGAACAGAACAGGCAGAATGGCCGAAATACACTGCTGAGGGGAGCAGCGGGTGTGACAGGAGAGGTCTGCTTTGCCAAGTAGGGCACTCCCTGGCGGGCCAGGGATCAAACTTGTGCTGCAGAGACTGCGAATTGCTCCATAGTGCAATGCTTAACCCCTGTGCCACCAGGGAGGCCCAAGATATTATTTTTTATAAGATAATTCTGATATTGGTGACCCACACACTACACTTTGGGAGTTATAGTGAGAGTTGATGGGCGGAGGCTAATCAATTGGGACCTAGCCATCCAATTCTAATTCATCCTGGGTAGCTTTCTGGTACATTTTTTCTTTCAATAATGATCTGTTACTTTTTAAAACAATGTTGACAACCACTAGCTGCAGCCTAGAAACCAAGCTCTGAAACATGACATCCATGAACTCGCCCCTGACTACCCCTCCAATTTTACCTCCTGCCAGTCTCCCGTTTTTAAGTTGCACCTTTGCAAAGATGACCTACATGTAGCCTCAAAATATGCCAGTCTTCTCACCTCCTTATCTCTGTTCATGCGGTCTTCTCTGCCTGAAACATACAACTGTCCCTTTCTTCAACTAGATTAGCTCTTTTTTAGGTGTCAAGGTTTAATAAGACCCATATACCGTTCATTATAGTAAGAGTAAGATAAAGTGAGTGATAATGAGATATAGTTGTTGATTGCTCAGAGAAGGGGTTGTCTAATACAGTCTGGAAATCTCAGGGAATGTTTTCTTGGAAGAACTGATCCTTAAATTATAACAAGTTAGGCAATTTAGCACTTCCTTGAATTCTTAAAAGATCGTTGGCAATTGTTTTACAATTGTTTATGTAAATTATTTCTTTACTTGGGATGTAATATGCCTCAGACTATAGATAAATCATTTAGTCTTTTAACTTCTGTCATCTCTTACCAATATTTATTCTCTACTTCTGATCAGAAGAAAATTATTTGCTAGGAAAAAAAAAAAAGAACACTTTAAGAGCTGAGGGATTTTGCTCTTTGTCATCCATCAGTGTTTTAAAATAATCCAGTAGAACAAATATAACATTGTTCAATATATTTTCATCCTCAATATGACTAAGTAAAATTTACTACTTCTTGTTAGTATTTTTTCATATCTTGGTTCATTTGGTATTTTAACCTTCTGCCACTATTCTTCTATGTCACAGCCTTTCTCTTATAATCAATCTTTGTTATATAATCTCCTTTCACTTCTTTTTGTGTTTGTGTTTTTTTTTTTTAATCTGATGTTTATCTGCTTCCAGAGCTCCAAGTTATACGAAGCAATGGTTATGCTAGATACTGGGACACTATGGGAAATAGAATATAACCTCTTCTCAAGAAGCAGAGAGAATGTCAGACTAGAGTACAATATAATGGGATAAATGCTACTTACTCTTTTACAGGGTTACATAGCAGTTGTTTGAAGATATGGGAAGACCAGAGAAGTTTTCTCAAAAAAGGTAACTGTTAGGATTTCAGGAAACAAATAAATAGCATTTTTCTTTACCTAAAATTCTGAATCCCTTAAGAATTAAGACAAAATAAGACAGACAAAATACTAGCAAACTGAATCCAGCAACATTTAAAATGAATTATATTTAATGAACAAGTAGGATTGTTCACAAATGCAAAGTTAACATGAAAATTAAACAGTATAATCACCATATTAATAGACTAAAGAATAAAGTGTTCTTCGTCATCTCAATAGATAAAGAAATAGTGTTTGGAAAAATGCAACATCTTTCATGATTTAAGAAAAAACACTTGACAGATCAGGAATGGATAGTATCTTCCTCAACCATCTACAAAAACCCCAAAACTGATATCATAGTTAATGGTATAAAACTGAATGCTTTCCCCCTAAGATTAGGACCAATATAGGAATGTCTACTCCCATTATAAGGGAAGTTAAGGCAGGACAATTTGACAAAGAAGAATAAAAGACATCCAGGCTAGAAAGAAGTAAAACTATATTTGTTCAACATATATTTGTATATATAAAATCCTAAAGAATAAACACAATCACACAATCAGAGGTAATTGATGAATTCAGAAAAGCTATAGGGTAAAAGATTAGTATGCAAAAGTCAGTTGTAGGCATGTATTGTATGGTATGTGAATTAAATCTCAAAAATCTGTTCTAAAAATCAACTGTATGTGTATATATTGTGAATACTCTGAAAATGAAATTAAGAAAATTCTATTCACAATAGCATCAAAATTAATGAAACCCTTAGGAATTAATTTGCAAGACTTGTACACTAAAAACTATAAAACACTGTTGAAATATATTTTAAATGATTAAAAAAATGGAAAGATACCCCCATGTTCATGAATCACAAGATTTAATGTTAAAATAGCAGTGCTCCACAAATTGACACATAGACACTATGCAATCTTTATCAAAATTTCAGCTGCCTTTTGTACAGAAACTAGTTGAACTTAAATTCATATGGAAATATAAAGGACCCAGAATAACCAAGACTATTTGAATAACCAAAGAAGAACAAAGTTCAAGGACTCTCCCTTTCTGATTTCCTAGCGTCCTACCAAGTCATAGCACTGATGGTAGTGTTTTAAGAATAGATGTGGAGAAAGTGAAATAGAATGCAGAATACAAAATAAATCCTTACATTTATTGTCAAATGATTGTCAACAAAATTGCCAAGACAATGAAGAAAAAAAGTCTTTTTCAACAAATGGTACCGGAACAACTATATCCACATGCACTAGAATGAAACTGGACACATTTTTACACCCTACACAAAAAATAATTCCCAATGGGTGATGGACTTTAATAGCTAAAACTACTCTTATAAGAAAACATAGATATGCTATGTAAAAACACAGTAAGAAGACTAGTTTTAGCTCTGATGAGTGAAGGGCTGTAGTTAGAGGGTAGGCCTTTGTCATGGAGAATGCTGTGGGTGTTGCCCACAAAATGACTCCTCCTTACCCTGCCAGAATCAGCCCCCTCTAGCCCTCGTGTCTCGCTGAGGGTGGAAGAAAGGAAAGCTATGAAATGCTTGTTAGGATCACAGCCCAGAAACACAAATTCAGTAAAAGACTGAAATTTAGTAGTAAGATTATAGATTGCGTCCTTTCTCCCATACCTTACCACCACGCCAACGTGACGCCAGTATGATAACAACAGTGGTTTATGCCCAAAATCTGTAAATGCTGATAAGTAGTTCTTAAGGAATACCAAAAACAACTGGAGAGAAAAAAATAAGGATCTTACAGAAAATCCAAGCCTCTGGCACTGCAGCGACAGCAAACATGAAGCACAGGCCAACTCCTTGTCAGAATAACACAGAGCCTCACAGCACAGGCTGACAACCTCAGGTGCTGTTACCCACGGTCCGGTTTCCGAGAAGAAAAAGTACAAGACCTTCTAAAAGGCAAGAAAAATACCTCTGTAAAGATAAAGCAAGAATCAGAACCATGGGCCTCCCCGGTGGCGCAGTGGTTGAGCGCTGGGTTGCGAAGCTGCCTGCAGCCTCTGCAGCGCCGGTTCGATCCCCAGCTGCTCCCCGGCCACCGGAGGAGGGTCCCACGTGGCGCGCAGACCTCTCCTGCCACCCCACATGGCGTGCAGACCTCTCCTGCCGCCCGCTGCTCCCCCCAGCAGTGTACTTCGGTCCTTCTGCCTGCTCTGCTCCCCGCTCTTGGTCTGGTGAATTCTCTCACCCTCCCGCGCTTCTGACTGTACCCAGTGCTTGTATAAACAAAACAAACAACAAATAAATAAATAAATAACATGCCTCTATAAAAAAAAAAAAATTTAAAAAAAAAAAAAAAAAAAAAGAATCAGAACCAGATTCCAGTACAACACGAGTTTTCTAATTATCAGACATAAGATTCAAAATAGCTTTGATTAATAGCTTAAGGGGTCTAAAAGAAACATAACAACATGTAAGAACAGATAGGTAACCAAAGCAGAGATTTGGAAAGATCTAAGAAAGACTCAAAAAGAAAGATGAATTGGATTTCAACAAAATTAAAAACATTTGCTCCACAATCAATCACTTCAAGATAGTGAAAAATGTCCACCGACTGGGATAAACTTTCTGAACCATGAATCCATTAAGTGACTTGTATCTCAAATATATGAAGGACCCTTAAAACTCAATGACAAAAAAGAACTAATTTTTTTAAATGAACAAGTGATCTAATAAACATCTCCAAAGAAGATATAAGAATGGCCAATAAGCACATGAAGATATTCAACCTCTTAGTCATTAGGGAAATGCAAATCAAAACCACAGTGATGCCATTTCATCCACTAGGAGCTTTAAACAAAAAGACAACACACACACACACACACACACACACACACACAAAGACAAAACTTGCAGGCAAAGGATAGATCTGGGATGTACAGGGAAGGGGGAGAGAGGAATGGGGGTGGGGACAGGGGTCAAAACAGGGGAGGGAAAAAGAGCACAAGAGACCGTGGTGACAGTTCGAGGGTGATGTGATGATGGGAGATTTATGGGGACTACATCTGAGGGGAGAAATCAAATATTGTACAAAAATGAACAGCAATGTAAGGAAATTAAAAATTGTAATCAGTTAAGCAAAAAGATACACTAAGTCTTGGCAAGCATCTGGAGAAGGAGAACCCTCATATATTTGTTGATAGGAATGTAAAATAGTATAGCCACCTGAAAAGCATATAAATACATTGTTATTATTCTCACCCATAATAATGTGTTCTATTAATTAACACTAATTGCCACTGTTAATTAGTCCTTTTGTTGTTTTCTTAATAGCCTTTACATAACAGAAAAGCAATTAACAGAATAATTTCAAATAAATGCCTATTTTCTATTTCTGTTAAAATAATCACACAGGTACATATGTATTTATTGAGTAATATACTTTTCTTTTTTATCTGGCAAGGCCATGCTCTGACTCCTCAGTGGACATGTAGATGTCCCTCATAGAGTCTTACACACATGTATTCAGTTCTGAATGGTTGGACAGTTGCTGGATAGGCATTTCTCCTATTTGCTATTCTCTTGAAACAGTGTAATTAAAAGACTTCCAGGGGAAATATGTAATAATATATTTCATATGCCTGGCTGAGACAATGGCAGTTAATTGATAACTCATTTAAGCAAGCCATTAAATATATAACTGCAATCATTGTCAAAAACTAAGCTTTGTTCCTCTAAAATCTAGTTCAGAAATGTTATGACATATTCTTTTTTTTTTTTTTTTTAGTGAAAATGCCTAGACAGACTCCTTCTTGGCTTTTGAAAAGATATTTGAGGTAAGAAAACTACACTTGATTTGTTCTACCTAACTACCTTGCTCCTTTTCCTGTGTCTTATAAGATCTGAATTTTGAATTATAGCAACTTTTTTTAATAACAAATGCTATTCTGATGTCTCCTATTCTACAGTGTCTGTGACTAGCTCAGTTTTGACCGTAGATAGGCTCATGTGATGCATGTTGAAGGATTCTGACATCCTTCAAACTATCCCTTAAAATCTATAGTGAAACATTTACTTCCATGCATCCGTCATTACTTTCGCACTTTAAAATTAGTGACTATCAGATGTTTTACGACCTGTAGTAGCAGTTGGAGCACTAGTAGTATAGGGATAAAAACTGAAGAGGAATAAAAAAAGAAGTCAGGGATAACATAGATGAACTCGCAGTTTTGTCTAAACCACTAATTTTTATATCGTTCACCCCCTTGACAAATTTCCCCCGTCCTTAGGAATAATGTTGTGGACAACTGTCTGAACAGTGGAGTAGGCAAGTATTTGAGAGTAGCCTGGATTTGTACACCAGAAAAACATGGTCTCCTTTCTTCCTTCCTTGGGCGCTCTTCGAAGAACTTGGTTTCTGCTCAATTAAAGGAGCAGGTTCTGTTGGAATACATAGAATCTCCTGCCCCCCAAAATCTAGAAAATTAGGTTAAGAAACCGTCTTGGGCATATCTGTACTTGGGTCTAGAATTGATTGATTTAAACTAAGATTTAATTTTTTAAAATGTCTTTTATCACATCTGCGGAAAGAAAGCAAATGATATATCAAGATAAGATAATCAAGAGAGTTCTGGAGTTAGAAGACATGAACTCGAGCAAATACTTAACCTCCCAGACTCCCTAACATCCTCTTTGCATTTCCCCTCTGATGAAAGATGGGGGAACATTGGCCATCCTGTCTCTGTCACAGGACTGGTGAGAGTCCCAAGTAGGAATACCGTGCATGCAGTGAGGTATAATACACAAACATAACTGGCATTACATTACTTTGATTAGATAGTTGACTTTGACACTGAAATCAGAGTACCCAATTTTTTTCAGCTCCCGCTGTGCGAATCAGAGGCTTAACAAAGACCAACAAAGACAATTATCAGGAACCAGTGAGAAGCCACGCCAGGATATAAATCAGCCCAAGAGCAGTGATTTGTATGGAAACTGTTTCAAAGTGACAGCCTTAAAGTGCCCTGTGCGCAAACAAAATCCCAGTTGGAATGAGAAGAAAAAGATACCAACAGAAGGTTGGTTTTTGTTTGTTTAGGATTTTAATAAATACAATACTTGCTTTCAGTCTACCATTATTAACAAATCCTATGAAATCTGGATTATGGGAGCTGCTTTGTAAAGAGAGAGGGCTGATGGAATCAGATATTTGTCAGATAAGTGTAACCTTTGTCTTTTTTGTGACTGGCATATTTCACTTGCATAATGTTCTCAAACTTCATCTATGTTGTAGCAGGTATCAATTTCCTTTTTAGGGCTGAATGATATTCCACTGTATGGATATACCACATTGTGCTTATCCACTCATCCTTTTTTTTTTTTTTTTTTTTTATAGAGGCATGTTTTATTTATTTTGTTTTGTTCGTTTGTTTGTTTTGTTTATACATGCACTGGGTACAGTCAGAAGTGCGGGAGGGCGAGAGAATTCACCAGAGCCAGAGCGGGGAGCAGAGCAGGCAGAAGGAACGAAGTACACTGCTGAGGGGAGCAGCGGGCGGCAGGAGAGGTCTGCGCGCCATGTGGGACCCTCCTCCGGTGGCAGCCGGGGATCGAACCGGCACCGCAGAGGCCGCGGGCAGCTTCGCAACCCAACGCTCAACCGCTGCGCCACCGGGGAGGCCCTTATCCACTCATCCTTTAATGGACAGTCGGCAATAGTGAATAATGCTGCTCTAAACATGGATATACACATTCTCTTCAAGACTGTGCTTCAGTTCTGTCAGGCATACACCCGAAGTGGAATTGCTAGATCTTATGATAATTCTGTTTTCAGTTTTTTGAGGAGCCACCATACTATTTCCCATAGCTGGCTGCACCACTTAACAGTCCCACCAAAAGTGTACAAAGATTCTAACCTCTCCACATCCTTACCCATACTTGTTATTTTCCACTTTATTGATAGAAGCCATTCTAAGGGGTGAAATAAACAATTTTTAATAGGCTTTATTTTTTAGAGCAGTTTGATGAGCACTTTTTAAAAAATTTTATTATACTCATGATAATTAACCAAATAAAACAATAATTCTTAGCATCTAATAAAAAAGGAATGTCTAAGATGTTCTTCCCATAGCTCCCCTCATATCTCCATCCTTCTGTTTCCTCGGGTCAGAGGCTTTGGAGCCACCACTGGTTCCTCTTTTCTTCTTACCCGCACATCTCACTCATTAGAAATATATCCAGTATTTACACACACACACACACACACACACACACACACACACACACCCCTTTCTCGCACTTCATGTCACTACCACCACTTCTAAGCAGTCTCCCTGCTTGTCCTCTCTGCCCCTGTTCAGGCCGTTCTCAGTGCAGCATCCAGCATGATGCTGGTAAAACAGGTATCAGCACATGATATTTCTCTGCTCAAAGTCTTCCTGCTGCTCCCCATTTCATCCTCAATGAAAATCAAAGTCCTGGGCATCCCCTGGTGGCGCAGCTGTTGAGCACTGGGTTGCGAGGCTGCCTGCAGCCTGTCCAGTGCCAGTTCGATCCCCGGCCACCTGCGAGGGTCCCACAAAAAAAAAAAATCAAAGTCCTCACAACTTCATATGAGGCCTTATATAAACAGAGTCTAAGTTACTCAACTGAGCTCATATCTTCTATCATTCCACTTAGTTCATTCTGTTTTAGCCACTAATATCACCTGGGTGTTCCTTTTTAATAAAACAGAAATCAACTCCTCCCCCATGATCTCACTATCCCCCTCCACAGGTTTATTTTAGCCCTTAAATGTTACCTTTATCTGATACATATTTGTTTACTTATTTTCTGGCCCTGTAATGAAAGCATAAGCTACAGAGAGGTAAGAATTTTTAGATAGAATTCTTGATGCATAAGTCTCGCTAAATAGCTGTTGAATCAGTTCAGTTCATTGATCTATACATATTTTTGTGGTTGCTCCCCAGATTCACATCAGGACTTGAAAAGCAAAATGAAAGAATGTGCATCTTTCCAAAGTAAGAAGACTGATGTAAATTGGACAGATGATGAAAAAAGAATCTACAGGGATACAAAAATAGCTCAAACGCAAGAAATATTGCAGTATTTGTTCCCTATCATGGAAAGTACTAAAAAAGCACAAACGACTCAGATAAAACAGAAACTGAATCCAAAAATCAACTTCCAAAACAAGTATCGGTAAGTCAATACATTTTTTTTCATTCTTAGCTATTTAATACATTTGTTTATAAGGAAACAGGCTTTATTAATTCACTATCCTAAGAAATAAACAGAGGCTCTTTAAAATGGTGGCAGCTATATGACATTTGGCTAAGGGACAAAGGCCCACATCCATAAGAAAATGTTAGCTAGGAGAAAGGAGGAGGGTTCAGTCCTTATTCATTCACTTATTTGGATCCATCAAGGAAGTATGCACTAAGAAAATATAACCATAGCCAGGCTTAAAATTTTTTTTAAAGATTTATTTATTCATACATACAAGAACCGGGGTACAGGCCAGATGTGCGGGAGGGTGAAAGGATTCACCAGAGACAGAGTGGGGAGCCCAACAGCGGATTCTACTGAAATACACTGCTGAGGGGAGCAGCGGGCGAGACAGGAGAGGTCTGCCGCGCCATGTGTGTATCTCCCCGGCCGGCCGGGATCGAACCAGCGCTGCAGAGGCTGCAGTCAAATTCACAGCACTGCACTCAACCACTTGTGCCACCAGGGAGGCCACAGACTTAAATTTTCTTGAGTGTTTTTAAACCTTATAATCCTAAGGAGCAACCAGAATTAGAAATAACTAACCTGAATTACTTAGACTTATTGATAGTGAGAGGAAAGCAGAAAGGATAGACCAGATTTCATTTATAGATATAAAAATAAAGCCATTACTAAATAAGAACTGAGACCCAGAGTGGCAACCTTAAATCAAGGAAGTTAGGATCAAAGCAAAGTATGCAAATAAACATATCTTCTGAGTGATCAGAAATACAGGATGGAGTAATGCTGAAAAATTATAACAACATGAAGATTTAGATCATTCTCATAGAAATAATGGCAAAACTCTTGAGAATGAGCTCACCAACAGAAAAACATAATTTATGAGAAATACGCAATTGTTTATACGATGACCACAAATATCTAGAGTACATATTGGACATAAACTGACATATTTCATTTCTTTCCTAGACAAAAGTCAGCTACTAATACAAATACAAAGAAATACTGCACATCTTGGACAATGCCCAGAAATCCCCCTTTTATAGACCAAGGGAATCTTATAGTAAGTTCTACAGAATGGCTCAAGTCTGAGTCCCAGAGGTCATTTGAAAGTCTGGCACCTTTCAAAGAGCACAAGAAAAGGAAAACACACCCTCAAATCAAGTCCAGAAAGACTAAGTGTATGCAACCTTTTATCAGCAAATGGGAGGCTGAGCCTGTGGATATTGTCAAAGGCAAGAGTCTGCAAACCGAAGAATCCAGGCAACAAAGCTCTCTGCATATATCCCCCATCTAACTACAAGTAAGGATGGTAGACAACCCACTTTCCATTTAAAGTTCCCAAAGGACAAATAATCTGGCTTTATGCTGTTTTGAAAACTGTGAATGAAAGATAACATATGCTTATGTAGTAAAAAGAACAAGAAAAGCACTTCCTGCCCCTCGGTCCCCATCCCACATACACGTATGCATATGCTAAGCTGTAAACCCTAGAGACCCCATCCTTAGTGGGGCCATGTTTCACAGATTTCAAAAGAAATCCAGAGAAAATTTAAAAACATGTCGGTATCAATATTTCATTTTTGTCAGGATAAGAAAAAAATCTATGAACTTTTTATTGCTTCCAAAATGATGGATGTATGCAGCGTATACACACAAAACATCCTATGAACTCGAGGAAAGAGTGACATGTACTGTCTCTTGAGTTTTACCTTTCTTCCTACTAAACACTTGAATAATGAATCATTCAGCAAATATCATTTCCTGAATTTCTGTTACATCTTTGGTGTGCTAGAAACCGTTGGTAATATAAAAGCTATTTCTTCACTCGAGATTGCTGTATAATTACACCTATAAAAATACCGTGACTAACATAGCTACAGAGTACGAGTGCATAGTAAAGGGCTAAGTTGTAGACCTCCCACCATTAGAGAAAATGCTATGTCTTAAAAGATCCTAATTGTACAGAGCAAAGGTGTGGCACAAAATAGCAGTAAAATGGAAAGGCATAGATCATAGTTTCAAATTGTCATTTTACTTATCAAAATTTAGCAAAAATATAAGAAATGCGCAGTTTCCTTTAGAGCCGATGGGTGTACAGCTCCAGGCATTTATCCTGTGGAAGGAAGTAGAGCATCTCAGAGTCAGCCATTCGTAGACTGAGCACTGGCGACATGCCCCATGGGGGGTGCGGAGTCCCAAGGATGTCAGGGAAATAAGCAAAGATGGATGTGAAAAAAGCAGTCAAGCAGCCTAGACCACAGGGCAATCGTGGCATCCTCTGCAGGATGAGGCCAAGCAGAATCCCGGTGAGGGAGCTGGGCTACCTTAAAGTGACAGGCACAAGCATAATTAGGTCCTGGTAGCAAGACAAAGTAGGATGATCTGAGGCTAAATAGCTTTTTCAACAATATTTGCAGTAGCCAAAAGGGCTACGGAGAGTTCATTGGGATATTAAAGCTAACGTATAACTATGATGTTTTGGTTTTGGTTTTTATAGACTATTTGGTAAGTTCACAGCACTATTGAGCAGAAGGGACAGAGAGATTTCCTATATACCCCTCGGGCCCCACAGCCATGGTCTCCCCATTATTATCATTGCCAAACATTTGCATTGATATATTATTATAATCCCAAATCCATGGTTTACATTGGTGCTTACCCTTGGCGTTTTTAGTCTATGGATCTGGATAAATGTATATAGAAATAGGTCCATCATTATAGATCATACAGAGTAGCTTCACTGCTCTAAAAAGCTCTGCCTTTGCAGCCCTCTTTTCTCCTTAACCATTGGCAACCACTGATCTTTTTACTAATTCCATAGCTGTGGTTTTCCAGAATATCACATGGTGGGAATCATAGAGATCGTCTTTTCAGATTGGCTTGTTTCACTTAGCAATAGGCATATAAGTTCTATCCTGCTTTTCAGGGCTTGATAGCTCACTTCTTTTTAGTACTGAATAATATTCCACTGTCAATAAAATTGATGAACTTCTAGCAATGTTAACTAAGAAAGGAAGACACAAATTACTAACATCTGAAATGAGAGACCAGAAATACTGATCCTGTAGACATTAAAAGGATAAAGATGAGGGCCTCCCCGGTGGTGCAGCAGTTGGGCGCTGGGCTTCAGGGCTGCCCACAGCCTCTGCAGCACTGGTTTGATCCCCGGCCAACAGCGAGGGTCCCACATGGCGCACAGCCCTCTCCTGCCACCCGCTGCTCCCCTCAGCAGTGTACTTCAACAGTCTGCCTGTTCTGTTCCCCGCTCTGGCTCTGGTGGGTTCTCTTGCCCTCCCGCCCTTCTGGCTGTGCCCAGTGCTTGTATAAATGGATGAATGGATCTTTAAAGAAAAAAAAAAGGATAAAGCGGAATATTATGAATAATAACTCTGGTTGGTTGAATCCACACATGTGGACCCAGCAGAGAGGAAGGTCCACCTGTTTCCTTTTGACCCCAGAAGCGTCTGCGCCCTTTCTGCGCACTAGAGGTTTGCTCATCACCTGGTTGTCAGTATCCTGTGGACCGCGAAGATCCTCTATAACATGACTGAGTTCTTTGCTTTCGGAAATACACTATAAACTCATCGTTGGTGATTTCTCTTTCAGATAAATAAGTTATAAACAATTATCAATTCATCAGGCAGTTGGCCATTTTCTCACCTCACTCCCAAAGCCCGCTAAGGCCTCTACTCTCCCTGCTCACAGCGGACCAGGGACCCAAATCCTGACACCCTCCAGGGTTCCCTGGCCACCCTCTGCTGGCTGTTTTCTTTTTCTCCTATGGGCAAAGGCTGTGTGGAAAGAATTGCTATGGCAAAGTCATGGGCGATGGACAGAGGGGATTCAGGACCTGAGTCTGCTAGAGATTTTGTTTAAAGAAACAACAGATGGCGCAGCCAGCTGAGAGCCTGGTGCACTCCCTCCACGAAGATGGTTGTGCGCCAGCAGTGGCTCGGCCGGAAGGAGGGCAGCCTGGGTGCGTGAGTCACTGGGAACACTGGGATTACACGCAAATTCCAAGGCTATACCAAAGATATTTGAACTATGTGACACTCATAGCTCCTCTGGACGTCCCCTGGGTGCCTGTCATCAAAATCCAGGTCAGCGGGACTCTGCATTCCTCTGACGCAGCATGTCTGCCCTGACCAAACCCAGGCTCAGGGGCCCTACCAGAAGGGAGGCCCCTGTAATCTTTGTGGACAGGAGCAGACTTCAAGGCTAGAGAAGGAGACTTGAAATTGGAAGGTGCCTCACCTTGGCACCTGGGCTGTGAGTCATCCACGCAGGTCTCATTGGGCTGCCCCAGCCCACCCGTGTGCAGGGGTGGGCGATGGCCCGGGGCGCTCCAATCTGTAGTTTGTGTCGTGTCAGGTGGACAGTGGTCAGCGCTCACAGGCAGGTCTCCTCTGGCTGCGGTCAGCCTTGTGTATCTCCCCCCATGGACAGCTCAGTGATGACGCCTCCTCTGTTCATGGCAGTGAACAGAGAGAAGTTACCTTCTCTTCAGCCAGGCCTCACCGCCCTGCCCCGCTGGCTGGCACTCTGGCCTGGTTCGTAGGGACTTGCTTTAGAAGTGGGCCAGCGCGCTGGGCTCCGAGCAGGCAGCTGTGGTCCACGGACACTGACAGCCAGAGGCCAACCTTCAGGACTCTGCCGCCCTGGGGGACCTTTGTGCTGCCACAGAAATCCCTGCTCAGCTGGCACCAGAGCCTCACTCTAGGGCGATCTGACCGCGTGCAACAAAATCCTTTTCCTGTCCCTTCAGTAAGTGCTGCAGAGCTGTGTGTGTGTGAGTCGGAGTCACTCCACTTTAAGGGAGAATAAAGAGCTAGTCAGATGGTTTTTTTGGTTAGAAAGTATTATATCCGTGAAAAGAATAGAGTTTCCACAAGTTCATGAAGCTTTTGGGTGACTTTTCTTGGCAGTCAGTCCCATGAAGGCACGCCGTTCAGTGGCACTTAATAGAAATGTGAACAGGTCACCCCTTCACTTTTAACCCCAAATAACTGCTAAAGAAAAATGGAGACATCTCAGGAAGAATGTCTAACAACGTCAGAGGGAAATAATGGGTGATCTGGATGATCGCTTTAAGATCACACAGCAGGGCCTCCCCTGGTGGCGCAGCGGTTGAGCGCTGGGCTGCGAGGCTGCTCGCAGCTTCTGCAGTGCCGGTTCGATCCCCGCCTGCGAGGCTCCCACATGGCACGCAGACCTCTCCTGCCACTCCTGCTGCTCCCCTCAGCAGTATATTTTGTCGGCCTGTCTGTTCTGTTCCCCACTCTGGCTCCGGTGAATTCTCTCACCCTCCCGTGCTTCTGACTGTACCCAGTGCTTGTATAAATAAATAAATCTTTTAAAAAATATATATATATATATATCACACAGCAGAGGCAACATGTGGAGGAAGAGGGCAGAAGGGCATGTGGAGGAAGCGTGGACCTCCCTGCAGGAAGGTGCCATAGACAGGGAGCTGGGGGAGCGTGACCCTGCATTCATAGCTCCGGCAAGCAGGTGGGGTAATCCTGAGGCTGACCAGGGGCTCCCCAAGGAAGGAGAGTTCTGCATAGGTCACAGATCAGAGCAACCTCAGGTTCAATTCAGATTTCTAAGCATGCCCGCACTCACTGCAGCACGCCTGGTTTTTCCTGTCCAGAGTAATTTAGATTTACCCCAGCTGCTGCCACTTAATTGATTTGGTTGTTGTTTTTTCCCCCTCTGTTTGCTATAATTACAATTTCTGGGTGTTTTTACCTACAGATGGTTTTAATGTAATTATGCTACATTATTTTCCATTTCATTGGGCCCCCTACAATTAGATTATATAGTTATGATATATTTATCAAATTAATCACATATTTAAACCATCATTAAAGATTTACAAAACCAAATGGAGCCATTTGAAGACGATTTCATTGTTTTTTATTAGACATCTGTAAAAGTAGCTTAATATTTACTGTCATAAACTTTTATTCATTTTCTATAGCTTTAATAAACTAAAAACCTAAATACCAGTAGATATCCTTTGTTAAACCTATCAGTATTTTTCTAAGTTCTAAATTCATAGATTAAATCAGGGACTTGACATTTTACAACCATTTGTTTATTGTTTTATAATTTTCTGAAATCTGTCACTTTGCCCTTGACGGTCTTTGTGATTTAAATGTCTTCAGGTTTTACTCAGTTAAAACCTTTCCTTTCAAAAACAATAGGGGCAGCGATCCGGTTCCAGAACAGCAGCCTGCAAAGCACCTCCACCCACTCCCCAGTGAAAATGCCATAAAGTCTCCGGAAATTGTCCTAAGGACATGCAATAAAGGAGCAAGCAAGAAAAGCTAGTAAATCTCAGAAGAGTAAGAGTCCATGACACCTCAGCCATGACTCACGTCTCTCTTTGCCCCAGGTCAGCCTCAGGGTTACCCCACTGGTTGCCGGGGCTATGAATGCAGGGTCACGCACCCCAGCTCCCTGTCTATGGCACCTCCCTGCAGGGAGGTCCACGCTTCCTCCACACGCCCCTGTCTCTGTGTCACAGGCGCTGAGCTCCAAGAAAGCCCAGCTGAGCGGTCAGGGCCTCCCTCCACCCAACCAGAGGGCAAAGACTCTTGCTCATCAGATTCAGAAAATCAGCCTGTCACCTTTGCCCGAGCTTGTGCACAGGGTGGAGGTCCTATGAGAGGAGAGGCAAGCTGAAGAGACCAGAGTCTACCTCCCGCCCAGCACCAGGCTCTCAGGTACCAGCTCCGGAAGTGACCACGGTGTCTGCCCTCAGCGCCTCTGCAGCGGCTTAGACGCGTTGCCCCGGGAGACAGAGCTCTGAAGTTCTCCCCAAGTAAGCTGATTTGTTCAGAACTAAGGGTGTGGACGTCATGCGGAGGGTGCTGTCAAAAACACTGGGGATGTAGGTGTGAGCAAAGAAGTGGAGGCACGAGTAGCCTTATAAGAGCAACAAGCTCTACACAGCTCCACTGTGTCACCAGAGGGACCCAGGGGAACAGAGGCTCGAAAGAGCCTCCGAAGGTGAGAAAGAAAGTGAAAAAGAAGAGAGGACATGGCAGGGGAAAGATAGATTACAGGGATGGATGGATAGACAGATAGATAGATAGATAGATAGACAGGCTGGAACAAGGCTCTCAACATTATCAAAGAAAATTATTTTTAATCTCAAATTCTATACTTGGTCTGACTCTGATAAAATTTAAGAGAAGAATAAAGAATCAGAAAAGATGAAAGCTTCTGAGGCAGGAGATAGGAGCTCCAGTGGAGGGTAGAGATGGAGGGGACCCCTGGGTGGTGACAGTGAACGCGGTCCAGGAGGACAGCTGTGTATCGGGATGTGGCCTGGGCGGTCCTGGGGAATTCTTTCTCAGGAAGAGATTAAGTACCAGCTTACAAATTACATGAGGAAAAAAAAAATCAGGAAGATTTAAAGGCTGGATTAGTGCTAAGTACACAGAAAACCAAGCAAACAAATTAAGGCAACTAATCTCCAGGAAATACAAAAAGGTATGCAGGAAGGGAAAAGATAAAATTTCCTAATGGCTCAGCTGCTCTGTATGGTATTTACGTAGCTGCAATATCATGAACACTGAATAGCGATGTAAACAAAACTACAGCCAATATGGAAGGCATGACGGAGGGAGGAGACACACTAGTGGAAAATGAAATGGGGGGACTTCATCATCATCTTCTATGGTCAAGAGCCAATAAATCATGCTGAAACAAAAATCAAGAAGTACCAATAGAATCATATTATTCAGAGAACCAAGCCAAATACCTGCAGAATCAGCTGAAACAGGTGGAAGAGCTTGCCTGAGAAGGGAGATGGTGGGACTGATTGTTTTTCATAATGAACTTTTGAAAATTTGACTCTTTGGAACTACATGCATTATAACTTCAAATAAAAGTTTTAGCTCTACACCTGCACTCCTATGTTTATAGCAGCACTGTTTACAATAGCTAAGCTTTGGAAACAACCCAAATGCCCAAAAATAGATGACTGGATCAAGAAGATGTGGTACATATATACCATGGAATATTACTCAGCATTCAAAAAAGATAAACACATGCAATTTGCAGCAACATGGATGGCACTGGAAGGGATCATGCTCAGCGAAATAAGCCAAAAAGAAAAAGAAAAATACCGGATGGTCTCACTCATAGCAGGAATCTAGAAAACTTAAATAAGGGACCAGGAAAATGAATATAAGAAAGTGAAAATCAAAATCAACAAAAAAACTATGAACCAGAGACACTTTGGGGGGTGGGGGGCGGGAGGGGAAGGATTGGGGTCAGAATGGGGCGTTTGCAATTGTATGGGGGAATATAAAAATAAAATTTAATATTTAAAAAAAAAAAAAAAAAAAAAAGTTTTAGCTCTATTTCTGTCTCCACTGCATTTGCCATTTCACTCACTAGTGAGCTGTTTTCAGAGTAACGAATTTCCATGAGTACCAAAAAGTTAATTTTGCCTTTACCTTAGAGGGATTATTATGCCTTAAAGGAAGGCTAAACTAGATATATAAAAATTCAGGATTTGCTGAGAACTTCCATTGCTAGGTGCCCAGGGCTAGGTTAAGCACATCCATCCATTCTCTCCTATTCCAACCACAGCCGTGAAGTGGGAATTGTTTCCATTTTACAGATGAGAAACTGAGGCTCATCTCAGTCAAAGATGCTCGCCTGCCACAGTCTGCTAGCCTGTGGCAGAGCTCCCAGATCCCAGAGCTTCTGTTTTTCCTATTAGATCCCACCAGCTCTTAAGATTGGACTTTAAAAGAACTACAAAAGGGGAAACAATTAACAGTTCTCCTTTGGGGAGAGAGGAGGGACTCTCTAATCCCCCTTGAGGATTCAGCAATCCTTCTAGGTTGCTAGCTACAGAATGACTCAAGTTGCACCCTGCTGGAAATTCCAGCCTGTGCTCACATGAGCAAAGGAAGCAATTTTACCACTCAGGCTAGGAGCCCCAAGATTGCAAAAATAAAAGCTGCCTTCTGCTCTTATTTTGAAATAAAGGGGATGTTGACACCGCTTCTGCTTGGGCCTTAACACCCGATAAGAATGCCAGGCTGGGCTCTGTGTCCAGAAAAGCCCAGTCACACGTACAGCGGATTTCCGTAAAGGGGGGCACAGATGGCCGCACCAGGGGTAAACTGGGTCTGGGCTCTTGGACCCGATGATCTTGAAAGGTCCCTCCCAAAGGAGATTTTCAGTCGTGTTTATCTTGGGTGCAGTCACTCTGAGGCACTTTGAGGGTGTCCTGGCCCGCTTTCTCTCGGGGCTGGTTTGTGATATAAGCAAGACACTCACCTGGCCCTAAGTGCATCGACCTGTCGGCTCCAGCCTGGGTCGAGTACGTGTTGAACAATGTTGTTTACATTCCTCTTTTCTGAAAAGTCATGGGACTACCGCACGTCAAGAACTGAAAGTGAAATTAGCTGATGGGACATCGGTCAGCACAAAGTTCAGAGCTGTTTACTTAGGCACCACTGGGAGGGCCGGCGGGCCCGGGCAGGGCATCTGTCCGCTGGCCATCACCCTCCCGCAGCGCTTTCTACCCGAGGCTGACATTAGGAAGCCAGCGAGAACCAGGAATCCACCAAACCTGATTTCCTGCTCTGCCTTTCAGTGAGCATTCCTGTGGCTTCTGCATCTTCTTTTGTAAGTACCCTCCCCGCATGCAGCGCAGCTTGCCCTGACGCCTACACCCGGGGACACTTGGGTCTCAGGCCCTTCGGGCTGGGGGAAGTTACCGGGGATCCGGGTCTGTGCCCCCCCCCCACCCGCCACTATGTATGATGTAGCCCCTACCCTCTGCTCTCCTCTCCCTTCAGCATCCCCCTCAAATCTCTGGCCTCAAAAATAATGAATGTGATGCCAGTGTAAGTGGTTAGCAGAACCCAGGGGGGACCGGGTGACAGGCGCTTGCCCAAAACCTGCACTAAGAACGCGGCTTGTGGAGGGGACCGGTTATCAGAAATGATAAACAAAGGGACATAACAGACTGCTGAACTGTCTCTCCAGGGCAGCCAGGGAGGCACAGTGGATCCTTAAAATACACACTGCGGGTTAAGATTAAAACGGTCAGCAAGGCCGGGGTTCTTGCTCAGGATTTAATCCGGTCTAAGAGGTTTCTAGACCCCGTGATTACACTACGTTGCTTCTCATGCCTTGGTGGGAATTCCTGAAGGATCTGAGTTCTGTGGGTGTCCATGGCATGCGATTTTAACCTACGTGCTTCCCATCGTAACCCTCATTGTGTTTTCACCTGTAAAATCCAAGGCTGTTTTGGGGAAGGGAAGGAAATGCTTACAAAAAGGTGGCGGCTTTTTCCTTCTTCCCTCAAGACGCTGACATGCATTTTTCAATATCCTCCTGGACCTCATCTCGCCCAAATCTGAGAACCAGTTTATTCTCCTTTGAATTTGCACATGTCCTCCTATCTCAATGTTTTTCCCAGCTTACCCCCTACTTTATCTAATTACTAATTACTCTCTAAGGTGGTTTATATTTATTTGTCCTATAAATTTCACCTTTTTCATAAGGAGAGCACATCATTCTGGAAATACCTTTAAAGTGAAAAGAGAAAGATGCCCCTAATAGCACCACTCACAGACACCACTGAAGTAACATTCCAGGCTATTCTGTACATTCACATTTTAGAATATTTCCTTCGTCTGTCTCTGCGATGCAACTTTATGTAGGCAGATACACTATACAGTGTGGGTTTAGCCCTGGTTCTTCCAAAGTTTCCATAGTCACAATTTTAATTCTAAAGATTTATTTATTTATGTATATAAGAACTGGGGTACAGTCCAGAGGTATGGGGGGTGAGAGGACTCACCAGAGACAGAGTGGGGAACAGAACAGTAGATCGACTGAAATGCAATGCTGAGGGGATCAGCGGGCTAGACAGGAGATGTCTGCTGTGCCACGTGGGTCACCTCCCTGGCTGGGGATTGAACTCGTGCTGCAGTGGCTGCAGACAGCTTCATAGGTTGCATCTTAACCCCTTGCGCCACCAGGGAGGCCCCCACAATTTTAATTCTAATGCTAATCTAATGTTAGTCATTCAAGTTACTTCCTACTTTTGCCTAAGTAATAATACTGTAATGAAGTTCCAGAACTCTGAATCATTAGTTGCATTTCTGATTGCTGCTTAGGGTAGACTCCAAAGTGGAATTGTTATAGGGCAGCCCCGATATTGAACGGGTTGCCTGGCTGTGGGTCCTCACCCGCGCACTTACAAGGGACTTATGAATACTCCACTACAGGCACACACAAAAGGTTACTAAAAGGTTTATTTACAAGGGAAAAGGAAATAAGGAAAATGTACAACTCAGGGAGAAAATAGGGAAATAAAGTCTTTAATGCGTCCTACCCGATCCGCCGACCTGGAAACCCAAAGGCACTCTTAGAGCTGGCCGGACGCTGCGAGCTGGCGGAGAGCCAAAATGGGGGACCCCTCCAAAGCCCACGTGTCTGGCTTTATACCAACCTGGCTGCTTGACCCCACCCTCAGGTCCCAGCCACCTTCCCTTTGGTGGTGATGGGATCTGGAGTTCCCAGTGTCTTTGGTTTTGGCCTGGGGTGGGGGTGGAGTCCACAAAGCCTGTATGGAATTAGCTTTAGGACAGCCTTTTCCCCCTAACAGAATTACTAAGCCAAAAAGATAGGACAATTTTATGAGATCGTAATACATATTGCCAATTACCTCCCAGAAAATCTGTAAGAAGGATCACATCCATCATCGCTGAACTAGAATGCCAGTTTCACTGCTTGCTGGGTAGCCAGTGTTTTTATCTGAAGTTCATAGGAAAAACTCACAGGTTGTTTTGCTTGGAATATCTCTGACGCTATGATGCAAGGTAGTGATTTCTGTCATGTTAGTGAATGTGACATAGTGGTTTATGGTAAAGTATTTGGCCTTTGTTCCCCTTTCTGGCGCCATATTCTTAAAAATCCTTGAAACTTCCTAAGTGACAATAGGGAAGACTTCACTGTGTTCATAATAAGTCCCTTTCAACCACACCCAGACTTATGTTAATGAGTGGACTTTTGGAAGTCCCTAGGGATGGGGCTGGTTGCCAGGGGAAACAACCACAGGATGTGAAGGGTGGATCTTTCAGCCCCGCCCCACACCCACCCCCACCCAAGCTCCAGCGGGTGGAGATTGAATCCGGCGCCCATGTCCAGAGGTGTAGCAATCGTACCCTATAATGTCTCCTGAAGGGAAAGGGGGGTGATTATGGGACGGAGCCCTTAACCCGCGGAGAGGATGTGGTCTCCAGGTGGATCGCGTCAGAACTGAATTAAATCTAGGACACCCACTGGCGCAGCAGAGAACTGCTTGAGCTAAGCTCATTCAAGGGGAACCAATCCAGCAAGTGGGGTGGGAGCCTCGGGGATACCCCTTGGGCAAAGAGCACTCTTCCTGAGGGATTTGGGGTAAGAGCAAGTGCCACAAATCCTGAGAAGAGCCAGAGCAGGCACAGAGCCTGAGGATGCAGAGATTTCCTTGTGAGGCTAGCAGGGGCAGCCCCGGGGCTAAGGCGACCTCACGGAAGCTGGGAAGGAGGCCTGGGGCCCTGTGTGTTCCGTTTCCCTGACTGGGGATCCCATAAGTGCAGACTGACTTAGGCTGATAGTTGAGCCACAGGCCCGGTCACTGGGGCGATAGCCTAGTTAACTTTCTCAGCCCCGACCTGGACTTCAGTAGACTTCGGGCGCTGATCCCCGAATCCCCGCTCTCTTGTAAGGACAAGTCTCCTTTGTCCACTTGGCAGCAGTTAATAGAAAAGTCCCTGGGCAGAGCCGAGAATGCCAAGGAGACACAGCGTCTGCCCTTCCTTTGGGCATCCAGCCCAGGAGACAGAAGGGCACCGTCTAGGTCAGCCCAGAGTGACCAGAGAGATGGGCTCTCCCAGGTCCCCGAGTCTGGCCCGAGGGGTCGAGGGGGAGGCCCGCAGCCTCTGCTGCTCAGCGGTCAGCGACTTGCTTCTTGTGGGTTATCCTACATGTGATCGGAAACCACTTCACGGGCACCATGGACTCACCACATCCCCTTCTGTGGGGACAGAGCTGAAGTTTGTGGGGGGGGTGTAACCTTTCCAAACAGCTCTTAAAATGTCTTTTGCAAAATTCAAGGTCGAGGTCTGGGAGCGTGTCTGGTCTTCCGCTTCTTTCCTTCTGACCGTGGAGCACAACATTCAACGGGCCTCGGCCTCCCAGCAGGGCTGGCTTCAGAGTTGTCTGGAGTTCAAAGCTGGCATCGCTCTGCTCCTCCCACCTGCTCAGCACCTCCGCAGGAGAGCCGGGGCGGCCCACGGCAGTTACTGGTTTATTTTTTCACATTTTCAAAGGGCAGGTTTATTAGGAAAAGAAGAAGGAAAAGGAGAGACACCTGCTTAGACATGGGTGGGCAGTCGTGAGAGGAGAGCTGCCCAGTTACCAGTTTTAAAGCTAGTCGCCGTCAAACTCTGCTTTGTGACCTTGACTCTTAACCCCCCATAAACTGGACCGTGCAGTCCCGCCCAGGAATGCAAAACAAGGTTGGATTCCAAGGTGCAGGCGTCTTCTTGTTTTTAAGCATTTTCCCTCCCTTTAGTAATTTTTTTTTTTAAGATTTATTTTTATTTATTTATACAAGCACTGGGCACAGTCAGAAGCGCGGGAGGGCGAGAGAATTCACCAGAGCCAGAGCGGGGAGCAGAGCAGGCAGAAGGACCGAAGCACACTGCTGAGGGGAGCAGCGGGCGGCAGGAGAGGTCTGCGCGCCATGGGGGACCCTCCTCTGGTGGCCGGGGAGCAGCCGGGGATCGAACCGGCGCTGCAGAGGCCACGGACAGCTTCGCAACCCAGCGCTCAACCGCTGCGCCACCGGGGAGGCACCCCCTTTAGTAATTTTTAACCTCTGTTCCCACCTGGATTATCCATAGCAAGGGCTAATGAGCAAGGGCTAACCAACAGCAAGTGAATGTTCATGGAACCCTTCAAACTGCCTGTTTGCTAGCCTGCTGGATGTGGAGGGGCTGGGCAGGAACCTCTCATTTGGCGGGTTTCAGTGGAGTCCTGCTTGTGCTGTCAAGCTGGTTTCTTTTAAGATTTACTTTTATTTATGAATGCATACAAGAACTGGGGTACAGGCCGGAGGTGCAGGAGGTGAGAGGATTCACCAGAGACAGAGTAGGGAACAGAACAGGCAGACTGACTGAAATACACTACTGAGGGGAGCAGCGGGTGAGTCAGGAGAGGTCTGCTGCACCATGTGGGTTGCTCCCTGACCGAGGATCAAACTCAGGCCACAGTGGCTGGCGAGAGCTTGATAGTGCTGCAACTTTAACCCCTGTGCCACCAGGGAGGCCCCTGTCAAGCTGTTTTTATACACATGGAAGAAAAAGTAAGTCAAAACCACACAGGATCTGTCACCGCAGGAGTTGGGCCTTCCTGGCCTTGCATCAGCACCTGAACTCACCTGGGAACGGCCACTGCCTATTTGAAAATGAACCATCTGGGCTCATTTCTCTGCCATAGAAACTAAGACACGTTTCTCTTTCTTCCCTTTTGGTCTGTGGCAGGGCCACCCCCAAGATGGTCCTAAATATATTCAACCAGAGAGATTCTCAGGGCCGGTGGCAGCCTCTGGCCAGTTAGAGCCGCCT